CCACCCAAGCCGGTCGAGAATGCCACCAAGAGGGCCCCAAGACGGCCCACAGGGGGGCCAAGACAGCCCACGAGGCGCCCAAACCACCCAAGAACGCCCCAAGGCGGCGCCCAAGACGGGGACGAGGAACCGGAAATTCGCGCCTTTCGGCCCAAGAGACCCCCAGGAGACCCCAAGAGGCTCCAAGAAGCGCCCACTCCCCAAGAGGCCCCCATGAGACCCGAAAAATTCAAAAGAGGCCCCGAAGACGCCCCAAGAGGCACTCCAGTAGAGCCCCCCCCCCGGCCCTGGGTACCACACCTCCCCGTGACATCTCGGGAACGCTCCCAGTACCGCTTCCCCGGGCGTTCCGGGGGGCCTCCACAGCGCTCCAGGAGGGCCCGAGACGCCTCCCAGGAGCTCCCAGAAAGCGAAAGGATGGTCCCAAAAAACGCTTCAAGCAGCCCAAGTCAGCCTGCCGACGGCTCTCGAGGCTCCCAGGTAACCTCCAAGAGACCCCAAGAGAGGTCCGAGAGGCGTCCCGGGACGGCCCGAAGAGGCCAAAATCGTAGATGTTCATTTGTTTTTTCAATGTTTTTAGCTTCTCGCGTCTTCAAGCTTCCAGCGGTCCAAGAGCGCCGACGAGGCTCCCAAGACCGCCCCAAGACCACCCAAGAGACCCTCAGGACGTCCCCAAGACGGGCCAACAAGGCTCCAAGACTGCCGAAGAGGCGCCCAGGACTCCCAGGACAGCCCCAGACTACCCCAGGACAGGCCAAGATGGGGCCAAGAGCGGGAGCAGGAGGCTTCCAGAGACCTCCGAAAGGCCTCCGGGACCACCCAGATGCCCCCAACACACCCCCGATCTTTCAGAGGCCCCAGGAAGACCCCGACGAGGCTCCAAGAACAGCCCAAGAGCCGTCCCGAGAGAGCCCAAAGATTGTAAAATCGTTGATGTCCCATGGTTTTTCTAATGTTTTTCGCCTTCTCACGTTTTCCCGCCTCCAACCCTCGAAGATCGAGGATTTTGACAATTAAGCAAAAAATAATTCCCAGAATCCCCCCTTTTTTCAAAGTGGGACTCCTACTCGGGGGTCCTACACATCCCCTGGCATCTGGCCGGTACCGCGCCTCCCGGCTTCCCCGGGGGGAGACCCCAAGTCGCCGAAGGACAGCCCATGACGACCCCAAGGAGCCCCCAGAACGTAAAGAACGGCCCAACACGCTCCCGCGCAGCACGCGACACCGTTCCGACGGCTCTCCAGGCCTCAAGCAGGAGGCCTCCGGAAGATCCCACACCCCTGAGGGGCCCGGCTGGCAAAACCCGCGAGGCACAAACAAAAAGCAGCGCCGAACAGCGACGAGGAATTGGAAAAACATGGAAATCCCGCAATTCCTGTGTTTGGTTCAAGTTTGGCCCCCGGTATACTCTTGCCACAATTCAGAATCCCCTCACCTCCCCCGAAAAAACCAGGAAGCCTTTGATGGCCCCAAATCGTTGAATACCTCAAGGAAATGAATGATTTCTACGTTTCCGCGTTTCCCCTTCTATGGACGCAAGAAGCGACCCAAATGAGATGGCATGAGTTAGCCGATCAAGCCTAGCTAGAACTTGAGCGCGCGCGCGCGAAGCGCGCGCGATGGTTCTAGTGTGTATGTGTGTGTGTGTATATATATATATAGTCCGAGCTTCGCACAGACTTCCTCGATCGGCGCTGGACCCCCTTCCCTAGCGCGCCAGGAGCACGCCAGGGGCGCCGCCAGAGGCGCCGCCAGGGAGGCCGCAGATTGGAAATGCAGGGAAGTGTAGTTCGTGACTTTCTACAATGTGGTTCCCAGCGTCACCGTTCAGCAAAATCGCCGTTAGCCCGGCGGAGGCTGGGTCGTCCCCGTCGAAGGAGGTTCCTCTCGCTTCGCAGAGTGCACGTCTGGAGCACGTCAAGAGTGGATGTTTGGGTGGTTCGCCTTGCGCGTCTACAGTCAACCCGCATAGCAAGGACGGGCAACCTTCCCAAAGATGCCTTGCATCTTTGCCTCCTCGGTCCATCCTTCGCCACGTGGCCGCGCCCCGCTCGAGAGGCTTCGAAAGATGGGCGTCCAAGGCCCTTGCATCCTCACCGCGCATCCTTACACGCCAGTAGCTGACAGTAGGCATTGTTGGAGCCCCAGATCCCAACCTACTTTCAGCGCCTTCCGACTTCAAGAATGGATATGTTTCTGCTGTGTGTTGTTGTTCTCCGGGAGGGCCTGAACCCAATCTGCTTGATCCGCCTTCCTACATCATGGTTCGACACACTTCTTTCGACCGGCGTGTCTGCTGCGGGCCGACGGCACGCTCCTGCCGCCCATCGAGATGGCCTTCCCCGCCGCGGAGGCCCCCTCTGGCCCGGCGGCTTGCCCCGGAGGCCCCCAGGCGAGGGGCCGGTCCCGTGCGAGGGGCCCGCCGCCCTCTTCTGCCGCCCTGGAGCCGCCCCCACGAGCGTTGAGGCGGGCAAGTCCCTCTACAGGAGGAAGATGCAAGAATAGTAAAAGAAAAAATAGTCTGGGGATGATGCTTCGATGGCTTTTCAATCTAATGTAGTTGAGTACGTGTTGCATACGTCTGGTTTCTCGTCCAGAGCCCGCCTGTAGGGGCACATGCCCGACCTAACACTGGCGCCGTGCTCCTCGAGTTGCCGAGATCCCCTAGGAGCCGATCATGGGGAGGCGTCCTGGCCAGTGCAGTGGCGAGGCGTCCTGGCTTGCCTGTAGGCCCACCGAGGCATGGTATAATCAGGGGCGGCCTGACCGACCCATAGCAAACCATCCCCCTCCGTGACGTCCCCCTCGCCTCGCCCCCAGACGTATGTATGCGCGGCCGGAGGGGAGCTCGAAAGGCGAGGAGGACGTCACGGAAAGGGATGGTTTGCTAGGGTTCGGTTAGGCCGCGCCCGATATAAGAATTGAATGTGGTTTGCACGAGATGTTCTCAGAACAAGCATGGCTGTGGCTGAGACCGTCTGGTTCTCAGAACATTGCTTTTGTGATTGGAGCGGTCTGTTATGTTGAAACAAGGAGAAGTCGTGGCAGACCAGTAGAAATGCCAGGACTGACGGTCCATGCTCAAGTACTCGCTCAGGTGTGATTCCAGTATGCCTCAAAGTTGCCATGCTGGGTTCTAGGCTGAAAAGACCACACAGTGTAGTGTTCCCTCATTGTGGAAAAGCGGCCCAAGTATAGCAGAATACGTTCAAGTGTAATTCACGTGTGATACAAAGAACACTCTGGGGTGTTTCATCGTTCGTGTGAGCTGTGGCTTATTCCCCAATCAGTGCTTGCACTGAAGGGGTCGTAGCGGAAATTGAAAGATTTGGCGAAAGTTTCCCGCCGTTTTTGGTGCCCAGCTGGGTTCCCGGGTCCGGGTTCTGGATTCCCAGGTTCTTGGTCATATTGGTTCCGGTCCGACTTCGGTGGGTTCCAGGTTCCCGGGTTTTTGGTCGATCTCATCATCGATGTCTTTATCGATCCCATTTCAAACCATCCATTGATTGGGTTTTTTCTCTAGTGTAATGCTTCACATCACCTCTATCATACTGGTGTTCCGAAGTCCTGATTTTTGGCTCCCAGCGCGGATCCTCAGAGGTCTATAGGCCCCTTCCCCGGGCCCGGTCTTCCTCCGGAGCCCCTCTTGGACGGCCCCAGGGCCCCCGCGAGGGGCCCAGGTCAGGGGTTGTCCAAAGTGCCCCTGGTCTTACGTCGGGCGTGTCCCTCTGCAGGAGGAATATTCGAAAATAGTTTTAAACAATAGTCTGGGGACGATTTGTCTATTCTTGTTGTTTGTATGTTTGGCCATTTGTTGAATATTTTGATTTTTCGTCCAAAATCCGCCTGTAGAAAGGACACGCCCGACCTAACCCTGGTCCAAGGTATCCCGAGCTTTTCGCTCAATTTTGACACCCCTGGGGCCCTGCCTCGTGAGGGGTGCTCTGGAGGCCGCGGGGGCCTCCTCGGAAATCCTGGGGGCCCCTTGGACCCGGGGCACTTCTAGCAACACCCGACCACTTGGATCGACGCGGTGGTGTTGCTCAGGGGATGGGGGGTATCTGATCTAACCCGTTACGAGTGTCCTCTGTGGCTTAGGATGTTGAGGCCAGTCCGCTAAGTGGGCTCCCCCACCTTAGCCCAGGCCTGTACGCCCTTAAGCCACTCAGGGCACGTGCAACCTACTTCTAAGCTGGGTTAGGCTGGATAGAACCCGCCTTCGCATCCACTTGTGTCCCCCTATCCTCTTAACAACCCCCGCGGCAATCCAAGGAGGAGGCCGGGGACATGGCCAAACACCTCGCGCCGGGAGTTCCTCGCCACATGGGAAGGAAGTGAAAGATGTTGGCCAGTTGGTCGAGCCGGTGTCCCGTGCGCTCGCTGGGCGCGCTTTTTTTGTGTCCTCCTCGTTCCTCCTCGATCTATAGGCATCCCAGGTGGGGTCCAAGCAGATGGGGTCGGAGGATCGCGCCACATCGCCGATGCATCGCCGATGCGGCTCGATGTGGAGCCCGCTTTGCTCCACGTCGACGTCGCAGATACATCGCCGACATCGACGATACATCGCGGGTGCATCGCCGATACATCGCCGATGCATCGCCGATGCATCGGCGATGTAGCGGCGATGCGGCGCGATCTTCTGATCCCATCCACTCCGACCCTATTTAGGAGGCCTCTGCTCACCCTCCTCCTCCTCCTCCTCCTCCTCCTCCTCCTCTTCTGGCCTTCCCGCGTCTGTGTTGAAAGCTGCTCGAACCGCGCTCAGTCGTAATTCGGGCACGTCCCTCTACAGGAGGAAAATTCCCAAAAATAGTCCAAAAATAGTCTGGGGACGATTTTTCCATCATGTTTGTTTACATTTTGGGGTTCTTCGTTTGGCCTATCTTTGATGTTTCCTCCGCACTCCGCCCGTAGGAGGACACGCCCGACCTGAGCCCAGTCGCGGCGGCGAGGTCTCTCCACGAGGCGGCGTCGGCCCTTCCCGCGCGCCCGCCGGGCAGGTGGTGAGGCAGCCCGCCGTGGCGGCCTGCCTGAAGGACTGGGGCGCCCCGGTGCCGGGCGGCTCCGCCACGGTCGGACCGAGGTATACAGGGCTCGTTTCGACTCCTCCGGCTCGATTCGATTCGATTCCGATGGTTTCCGATTCCGATTCGATTCGACTTTGGATCTTTGGATTTCGACTTGGGCTCCGATTTCTCAACGGAGTCCAATTAGCCTGCCGATTTCTGCGGATTCGACTTTTCCCGACTCGGCTGCCGATTTCCGCCGATCCGATCCATTTCGACCGCCGATCCGACTTATCGATTCGATTCTGGGATCTCCTGGGTATACTATCGAAATCGGTTCGGAGAGTGTACAGTGGAGGCCCATGCCAAGAAACACCCGGCTTACCTCCAGTGTTCCCTGGGTTGTTTTGGGTTCCGATGATTTTGCGATGGGAAGCGTGACGTGCCCACACCAAAAATCAACGAACGTCTTGGGGTCTCAGGATTGGGTTTCTTGTGGAAGGTTTCTTGTGGTCGGGCCCCTACTGTACCCTAGTGTTCTTCGTGCTTGTTGGATGTTGTGGTGCATCCTGGGGAGGGTGCCCTCGTATGTTCTGTGCGTTTTGGCCGGCGGAGGGGCTCGCTTCCTGGAAGGCTGGTCTTCTGGCCCAGGTCCGACAGTACTCTCCTCCCCAGCCCTCCAACGTACTGCACAAGGCCCCTCTCCCTCCCCAGGCCTCGCTCGCACGGTCTCCGGCGGGTTTCGTCTGCCCTTGGAGGTTTCTTGGACTCGGGTGGCCCGCCAGCAGCTGCGCCTCGGCGAGTGCGCTCTGGGGGTGCCCAGGTCGTCCCGAACGGCCGCGAAAGACCCGAGGTACGGTAGAGGGAAACAATTACTGAACACTCCCCCTCCCCCCCCAAACTCACTGTTGGCACGCGCGGGGGAGACCGCGGTCGAAGTGCAGCTCATCGGACCCACCGCCAACTTTTCAACATTGGGGGGAGGGGGAGGCGTTGACAGACGAGTGTGGCATGAGTGTTCGCTAATTTGCTCCGAGGCTTGTATGATCCGGAAACCAGACGCCCTCCTCCTCCTCCTCCTCCTCCTCCTCCTCCACCACGTCGTACAAAAATCACGGCGGGGAGGCGTTTGGCAACTCCCTCCGCATCTGGAGGCCCTTGCCAGGCCCCATGGGACCGTCCACCGACGGCTCGGGAGGAGAGGCTGGTCTCGGGGAAGGGGCCCAAGCATCCCTGGGGGGCCCTCTCCCTCCTTCCCCCCCCCCTTGTCTCCCTCCCCTCCCCTCCTCGGTGCCCAGCGATGGGCTCCGCAAGAGGAGCGACGGAAGAACACGGGATCGACGACGCCGAGACTGGCGCGCGAGCTGCCCGCGCAAGGCCGCGCGTGCTCTGGATGGGGGTTATTCGTCAAAGGAGGGGTGGTTCACCTTCCGACTGGGCCTGCCCCATCCCGCCCCCCTCTATCCTCCTCCCCCTCCCGATCCTCCTCTTCCTCCAGCCCCCCTTCCACCCATTCCGACAGAGGGGGAGGAGGAGAAGGAGGAGGAGGAGGAGGAGGAGGAGGAGGAGGAGGAGGAGGAGGAGGAGGAGGGGAGGGAGGAGGAGGAGGGGGAGGAGGAGGAGGAGGAGGGAGGAGGAGGAGGAGGAGGAGGAGGAGGAGAAGGAGGGAGAGGAGGAGGAGGAGGAGGAGGAGGAGGAGGACCCCCCCAGCGGATCCCAGGCGTGGGGGGCGACGAGTGCCCCATCCGGGGCAGCGCGGCATGAGGTCGGGCCGCGCAGGCCGCGGCGTGTGAGGTCGCCGCCGTCGACCCGCACTGCGGGGATGAAGCCACTTTCCGAGGCTACCATTGCTGATGATCATCAACATGCTGGTCGACATCATCATCATCCTCCTGCTCCTCCTCCTCCTCCTCCTCCTCATCATCATCATCATCATAATAATCATCATCAGCAGCATCAGCATCATCATCATCATCATCATCATCATCATCATCATCATCATCATCATCATCATCATCATCATCATCATCCTCATGCTGGTCATGATGGTGCTGGTGCTGCGGATGTTGATGCTGTTGATGGGTGATGTTGGTGATGTTGATGTTTCCGCTTGAGCGGCGGAAGTGAACGGTCGGGTATAGCCAGGACCCCAGGTAAGGGGACCCGGTTAGTGGTAGCACCCCGGAGCCCCCAGATTGGCCAGAATCACCAAACCGGGTCTGCCGTAGCTGGTGTTTTTTCGGGTGGCGGCAGCTCCGGTTGGTGGAACGGGGCGGGGGGGACGTCCTCCAGCACACATCACTCAACCAGGTCCCACTAAACACATTTCTGCCATCGCCCGATCTTGCGTCGGGCATGTCCTTCTACAGGTGAAGAATTCAAAAATAGTCAAAAGAATAGTACGGGGACGATTTTGGAGAGTTTTTGATGGTTTTTGAACATGGTTTGGCTCTGTTTTACGTTTCGTCCAAAGCCCGCCTGTAGGAGGACATGCCCGACCTAAGGCTTAAGGCTACCCGTGCGTCCTCCCCCTTCGGCCTATCCTTGGGGCCGCTTTCGCTGGCCGCGCCCTGCTCGCAGAGTGTCGGCATGACCTTCCAAGGCCCGTATGCATCTTTTATCGTGTGTCTTTATTGTGCAGGTTGGCTGTATGTCGCTTCGCGTGCGACCTTTTTGTTCGTCGCTCGGGCGGTGGCGACTCGCATGCGCGAGGGGAGGCCCCACCGTCGTGCGGGACTTCGGAGGGGAGGGCCCAGAGGGATCAGAGCGCTTTGCAAGGACATGTAGACCAGTTTGAGCACTCTGGGATCGAATCGCCGTGTCCATCTCAGGCAAGCCTTCTGAGCAGCAGCACCGGACAACCAGTCAACAACACAACAGTTTGGCTTTGAGCGACCAGCCACCAAACACAAGTCTGCTTCGAGGCGGATACCCCGGGAACACCCGCACACTGTGGGCCCGGCGGCAGCGGCATGCGGCCGCCATTCGTGTCGAAGATGCGCGGCGGGACACCCAGGGAGCACAGCACACCTAGTAGGGTTAAGCGGTTGCGGTGTGCAGGATCTGCGAGCCGGGCCCGAAGCCCGTTTCCTTAGACCCAGCAGCCCTAACTAACCGGGCGGCCAAACAGAAGGAAAAGACAACATGCCCCCCCCTTCCCCGCGCGGCGGCGGCGACTGCCGGCGGTGGCGCCTCGTGGCTACCGCTTTTCCCCCGCCGGGCCCTCCAGATGTCGTCCGCGCAGATGGGGTCGGGGGATCGCGCCGCATCGCCGCTGCATCGGCGATGCGGCGCGATGTGGAGGCCGACTTTCCACGCAGACGGCGCCGAGACATCGCTGGCGTCGCCGACGCATCGCCCATGCATCAGGGGTGCATCGGGGATGCGGCGCGATCCTCCGACCCGATCAATTCCCACCCCATCTGGAAGGCCTCTAGAAGAGGAGGGGTAGGAGGGGGAGGAGGAGGAGGAGGAGCAGGAGGAGGACGAGGAGGAGGAGGAGGAGGAGGAGAGGGAGGACGAGGAGGAGGAGGAGGAGGAGGAGGAGAAAGGAGAGGATCGAGTTTCAGACGCTGCAGTCGATGTGGGTTGAAGTTCGCTCAACTGAAAAGAGGATCGAGTAGGAGGATCGAGGAGGAAGATCGATGATCGAGTAGGAGGATCGAGGATCGAGGAGGAGGATCGAGGATCGAGGAGGAGGAGCGAGCATCGAGGAGGGCCACGTCTCGGAGGCCTCCGCCCTCGCGGCCAGGACTTCGCGCTGGAGGCGCTCGCGGGGGCGGGGGCCACGGCGCCGGCGCGGGCGGCCGCCGACCCGCGGGCGCTGGAGAAGAGGAGCGGCGCCGTGTTGGTGTTCGTGTTCGTTTTCGTCCTCGTCCGTCGCCCGCCGTTTGTCGTCGTCCCCGTCCCCGTCCGTCGAACGTCGTCCGTCGTCCGTCGCCGTCCTCGTCCTCGTCCGTCGTCCGTCGTTCGTCGTCGTCCTCGTCCGTCGTCCGTCGTTCGTCCTCGGCCTCGTCCTCGTCCTCGTTTGTCGTCCGTCCGTCGTCCAGCGTCCGTCGTCCGTCGTCCGTCGCCGTCAGGGAGCCGAAAGGAGACTTCAGGGGTTCACGGGGGATCAGGGGGCTTCACGGGGTTGGGAGGAGCAGTGAGGTGACAGGAAGAGGAGAACGGAGGGAACGAGGGTGGGAGCAGTAGAGGGAGGAACGAAGAAGCTCCAACCCTCTCACGTTCAAGCCCGCCCATTTTTACTCAGCCGCGCATGTTCAGTATCACCTCACCCTAGCCCATTCACAGCCAGGCGCCCACACGCAGGATCACCGATACACAGCTGCTCGTACGTTGACCCGCGCACACTCAGACTCACTTACCAAGACGCTCAGAAACAAGTCGCGCTGGAACATTCACGCGCATATGGGAAGCTCTACGTCGAAAACTGTGTTTCTTCTTGCTGGGGCGAAGCATTTGGGGTTCAGGCGGAGGCATGGGCGCCACTTTGACGCTTGGTCCTGTTCGATGTTGAACTGGAAGTACTTAGAGAAACCGGCCAGATTTGTTTTGATAAATCTACAGGTGATCCTCTCAGAAGGACAGGGCTACCTTGCGAGTTACAGTATAGTGCGCATGTTTGAACGGCATTGTCGCCCAAAGAAAGGAGGGAACAAGAAGAGGAACAGACTCCAAAAGAGCCTCTTGTCGGAGCGTGTTGTCAGAAGTAGGGATGGTGGAGGGAGGCGAGCGAGGAGAGCGAGGAGAGAGTGGAGGAGAGGGGTAAGGAAAGATGTGAGGAGAATGGGGGAGGCGCGCGGGGAGGAGAGGGGAGAGGAGGGAAAGAGGAGGAGTGAGACGGGAGGAGAGAGGGGGAGAGAGGAGAGAACGGGGGAGGAGGGGGAGTGGGCTGGGGAGGTAAGCCAGGTGCGCTCGCGCCATATATGACACCCTTCCCAGTGCGCTGATGTCTTTTCGATCAGCCGACGCGTATTATTGCGAACCTGCAATTCCCACAACGACCCCATGGTGCTATACGCAATCGGACAAGGGGAGCTACGTACAGTGGAGGAGGAGGAGGTGACCGATGAGCAAGGGGATGAGCAGGTGGAAAAGGACGATGAGGAAGGAGGGGGGCAAGGACGAGCAGCAGCAGCAGAAGTTGGAGTAGAACGAGCGGGAGGAGCATGAGGACCTGAAAAAAGCGGAGGTGGTGAAAGGAGGGGGGCGACAACGATGGCCAGATCCAGAACGTGGCCAGCGTTGGGGTGAGAGCGCCATTTTGAACGAAGGGAACAAAGCGCAGATCGAACAATGAAGCTCACGCTACAGGGGCACTACGTTGCAGGATCGACAAACAACAGGAGTGTAAACCAACACCCATTGAAGTATCAAGTCGTAAATCTTGTGTGCCCAAGATCAAAATGTGGAGATGGCTGGACAACGTCCTGACAGAGTCAGGGGAACAGGGAGAGTAGTACAGTCAGGAACTTAGGCTAAGCATGTCGTGCGCCAGGTATGACCCACCGCGCTTCGGTGCAACACGCTATCCACGTCCCCAGTCCCCCAGCGCCAACGTCCTGAAATGTTGGTCGGCTTCCCGTCCCGTGAAGCGGAGCGACACGCTACCCACTCGCAGGGCATAGCGTGTCGCGGTAGCCCCCCTCCACGACACACTAAACAACAGTGTCCGACCGACGTAGTCACGTTGAGTACGTGGATGAAGCAGAGCGAAGAGAAGGACGGAAGAGAAGGAGGAGAGAGGGGGAGAGACGCAATACAGGTCAGATCGCGCTGATGTTCTTTTTATCCGCCGAAGCGTGTTATAGCGGACCTGCAGATCCAAACAGGACCCCATTGTGCTATGCGCATTCGGAAAAGGGGAGCTGCGTTCATTGGAGGAGGAGGTGATGAACGAGCAGTAGGTTGGGCAGGGGGAGCGAGGAGAACGAGGAAGCATTCCGACATGCGAGCGCCCGCTACCCGCGTGTGGACTGGGTCTTGTTTTCTAGCAGGAGATTCATGAGTGTTGTTTGATCAAGGAGTGCGCGCGCATAGTATTTGTTGACATGGATGGGTGGGGGGATGATACGGGTGGCCCCATGGGATGGTAGGGTTGCACCTGCAAAAGCAAGGAGCGGCGGAGCCACGTGTAAAGTGTACCATCCCAGGGGGTGGCGGTACTCCCTGGGCGAGTGGAGTCTGTTTCAATTCTGCCACAAGGTGAACCCATGCAACGACAAATAACGCAGACCATGTAGTGCAATATAATCAGGCGGTCGCAAGCATGGATTCAGGGAGCGTGGATTAGCGACGGGTCCCGTTTCCATGGGAAATCGCGGATTTCTGCCGCCGAGCGAGGCGACACCGGCCGCATTTTGGAGAGGGCACCTCCCCCGATCCATGGATTTAGCGACCGCGCGCCTAAACCATGGATCGCTAATCCATGTTTGCACGCCCCCGATCTAGGTGGCGCAACGCACTGTAACGCAATGCGAACTTTTATCACGCAATGCCATGCGGTTCGACGCAGTTCAAACCAACGCAAAGGGCAATTCCAAGAGCATGGGCATCGCCGTGGATGCAATGATGGCGGCGACGGCGGCGACGGCGAGATCGACAAGGCAACTCTCGCGGCCGCGGCCACGACCATCTTCACTAAACCCCGTCACGCGGATCGGGTCCCGGTGGCGCATCGTTGCTTCGTCTGGGTTGCAAGATGGCATGGGACAACGCTTGCAGTTTCCTTACGACCACGAACTTTGGCTCAGCGTGTCGCACCGCCGGCTCTGGCCCACGACACTTCGGCGCAACACGTCAAGCGGTGGCGAAGCGTCCTGGCTCGCCTATAGCCCGACCAAACAATGTGCTAAGAACCTTTTGTGGCTCCCATGATATGCTCTTCGACAATTTCTGGCTGGGACTGTCTTGTTTCAACGCATCGGGAATCTCTTCTAAGAACATCGTTTTGGTTCTTGGAGCATTTTGGGGTTCTAGGAACATTTCGTGGTAGGACTGTAGGAATGCCGGGACGGCCGGTCCCCGCTCAAACACGCTGTCCACGGCCCCGGGCCCCGTGCGACAACATCCCGGATGCGACATCCGCCTCCCGCCCCGCGAAGCAACCCGATCGGGGCCGGCGCGCCGTGCCAAACCTTTTGTCGCGCGGTGTCCACAACGCCCGGTCGTAGCCGGGGGCGGCAGGCAGTGCTCGGCGGCAACGGCACCTGTGGAGGGCTCATTTTCGATTCCTCCGACTCGATTCGATTCGATGTCGATGGCGTCCGATCGCGATTCGGTTCGACTTCGGATTCCGATTTGGACTCCGAGTCCTTCCTGGAGGCCCACTAGCCTTGCTGATGTCCGCCGATTCGACTTTTGTCCCGGCTCTGGTGCCGATTTCCGCCGATCCGATCATAATTTTGATCGCCGACTCGACTTGTCAATTCGATAATGGGCTCTCCTGCCCGCCCGCCGCGAGGATCGCGGGGTGCGAGGCGAGGAGGAGGAGGAGGAGGAGGAGGAGGGAGGAGGAGGAGGAGGAGGAGGGAGGAGGAGGAGAAACAGGAGGAGGAGGAGGAAAAGGAGAAAAAGGAGGAGGAGGAGGAGGAGGAACAGGAGGAGGAGGAGGAGCTCTGCCCGCCCGCCGCGAGGATCGCGGGGTGCGAGGCGGGCCTCGAGAGGGTGCGGGCCGACCCTGGTGAGCTCGCGTGGTTCGAGGGCTTCATGAAGGGGGTCTGCGGGCGGGGGGGCGGAGCCCGCCGACGCTCCTCGAGGGGGGGGGGAGGAGGAGGAGGGGGGGGAGGAGGAAGAGGGGGGGGAGGAGGAGGAGGAGGAGGAGGAGGAGGAGGAGGAGGAGGAGGAGGAGGAGGAGGAGGAAGGAGGAGGAGGAGGAGGAGGAGGAGGAGGAGGATTAGTTGAAACCCAAGAGTCATCAACGATGTTGGAATTGACCCTCCCTCCAAGCTTCCTCTTCATAGGCCCCTACAACGGTTCATTTCCGTTGAGGGAACTGCCTCGCTGGAAGACAACGACAACAGTTTGAAGATCCTGAAGCGTGCCAAAACATTGTTCTCGGGATTTTCAACGCCACGTATCAAACTGACTGCTGCGTCCTGACGATCCAGAACCGTGCCAGAACACCATCTTTGGGACGTCAACACAGCGAATCAACATAACCTTTGCGCCCGCATCTTGAACCTTTCCTAAACACCATGTCTGGTACGTTGACCATGGCAATCCGTGAAACTCATGCGAATTTTCAAAACGAATGTGCGCGGCGCTGAGGCGAGAGCTACATGTTGAAAAGGAACCGCCCTCAACCCGTGAAACTGATTCGAGTGTTTACAACGAAGGCGCGCTGTGCTGAGGCGAGAGCCACATTTTGAAATGGAGCCGCCTTCAATCCGTGAATCGCTTGCAAATTGTTAAAACGAATGTGCACGTCGCAAAGGCGAGAGCCACGTTTTGAAAACGACCCGCCCTCAATCCGTGGAGCTCTTGCAAAGTTTTTAACGAACGTGCGCGGCGCTAGTGCGAGAGCCACGTTTTGAAGACGGCCCGCCCTCAATCCGTGAATCTCTTGCAAATTCTTAGAACGACTGCGCACGGCGCTGAGGCGAGAGCCACATTTTGAAAACGGCTCGCCCTCAATCCGCGAAACTCTTGCGAAGTTTTAAAGCGAATGTGCGCGGCGCTAAGGCGAGAGCCACGTTTTGAAAACGACCCACCCTCAATCTGCGAAACTCTTGCAAAGTTTTAGAACGAATGTGCGCGGCGCTAAGGCGAGAGCCACGTTTTGAAAACGACCCGCCCACAATCCGTGAATCGCTTGCAAATTCTTAAAACGAGTTTGCGCGGCGCTAAGGCGAGAGCCACATTTTGAAAACGGCCCGCCCTCAATCCGTGAAGCTCTTGCAAATGCTGAAAACGAATGTGTGCGGCGCTAAAGCGAGAGCCATATTTTGAAAACCACCCGCCCTCCATCTGTGAAAAAGTTGTCACTGTTTAAGCTTCAGGGTGATAAGTGGTGAGGAAGTCTCAGGCGAAACGCCCGGCCCGCCCTAAAAACTGGCCTCGAGTTGTGACAGGGAGGAGTTATCTGAAAGGAAAAGGAATGGAGGAGGAGGAGGAGGAGGAGGACGACGAGGAGGAGGAAGAGGCGGAGGAGGAGGAGGAGGAGGAGGAGGGGAGGAGGAGGAGGAGGAGGAGAGGAGGAGGAGGAGGAGAAGAAGGAGGAGGAGGAGGAGGAGGAAAAGGAGGAGGAGGAGAAAAAGGAGGAAGAGGAAGAGGAGGGTCGGACGTTTCGGGCGTTCTCGGGCGCGTTCGTCGACAAAAATGACCTGGCGCCTAGGGCCAGGCAGCCCCGCTGCTTCCCGAACCTCCTCCCCAGACCTCCGGCTTATTCGACCATCTACATGTTGATCGATTGACCTGGCACGCATTTTTTTCCTGCAGTCTTCGTGCGTTCTTGGAGGTTTCCCAGCTCCAGGATGCTCTCCAGCAGGCGCGCTTGACGGAGAGTCTTCCGGGGGTGACCGGATCGTCACGAACGGCCGCCGGGGAGCCGAGCTAAAGCCCAAAAGCCTGGGGAACATCGGGGGGGGGGGGGAAGGCCCAGGGGGACACGAATCTGCCCAAAATTACCCACTCATCGCCAATAAGGGCCCCGTCACCCACTCTACCCAGGAGCTGTCGAAATCGCTAGTGGGTATTTGTCGCCGCCCTATCAGCGATGTACCGCCGATTCTAGTTCGATGTGCCGCCAGCCCCCATTTGCGGTTGATTCTGGCCCCTCATGGAATGAGATAAGCGAGCGGCTTGACTCCAGGGCCGAAGCTTTTGCGAGGTCTTCGGAGTTTTGTCGAACGCCCCCGTCCACGTCCAAGGCGCCAGAGAGAGCCGAGGTCTCGCCGAAAATCTCCACCTAGTTACCTCCTCCTTCTCCTCCTCCTCCTCCTCCTCCCCTTGGTCCTCCTGCGTCCGCCTCCTCCTCCATCCTGTCCCCCCTCTGGCCTCACTCCCGCTTCCTCCGTCGCGCGCGGGTGGTCGCACGAGGGGGGCGGAAGAGCTCTTCAGGTGGATTTCTACGATTTGGCGATGGCTTTGCTGAGCGCATGCGCTCCGCAGCTGTTTGCACCAGCCCAGTCTCTTGGTGAAGCCCCGCAGATCTCTCGTTTCTTTCTAACTTGGTCTCTCTCTCTCTCTCTCTCGATGTTTCTATTGTTTCGTTTTGCTCTCTCTCTCTCTCCCCCTCTCCCTCTCTCCATATCTCTCTCTCTATATATATATATATATATATAGATATGTATATATGTACGTACGTACGTATTTATACTTGGTGGTGTTCCCTCTCGCTCTCTCTCTCTCTCTCTCTCCGTCCCCATCCCTAACCCCCGCGGACATGCAGGAACAGCCAAGAAGTTCCTAGGGGGAGGGAGTGAAGTGGGCGAGGGGGCGTAGAGGATGGGGACGGGGAGGGGGACGGGGAAGGGGAGCGAGGACGGGGGAGAGGAGCAGGGAGACACGGGGGGCAAAGGGGGGAGGAGGTTGAGATGTTGGTGGTTACCCAGAATGCAGTTTCACAGCAAGAACGAGCTGATTCCTTCCAGCTTGGCCTCAAACGGGTATGGAAGATTGTGTATCCCAGCCAGGCGAGGTATTGAACACAGCCGCTCTGCTCCAATTCAGACGGGGCGTTCCACATCCAGACCGGTGTTTGATATTCAAGCGACCCCAGTGAGCACATTTTGCCTGGCCTGTCTGCTGGAGGCTTCTCCTTGGCTTTGGGCAGGCGTTGGGAAAGCGCCTGGGAAGCCTGCGGGATGCATATATGAAGCCCTTTCTGCCTCTGAGATGTTGCTGTCAGGCCTCCGGGGTGCTTCCGAAGGGCGTACGTGAAGTTTTTGAGAGGCCTGGGAATCGTCTGTGAAGGTGAGAGCAGCTTCTGAGAGGTATAAAACAACGACTCTTGACGGGTTCCAAATTTTGGAGAGGCTTCCGAGAGGCGCCTGAGAAGTTTCGAACAGTTTTTGGAAGCCTCTGCCGGTTCATGGAAGTTGGGAAGGGGGGGGCGCGATTGGGAGGCCATTGACAAATGTAGACGGGCGTTCGAGAGTTTTCCGATTGGCCTCCGAGAGGTTTCTGATACACTCTTGGGAGGCGTCCGATCAGTGTTTGAGAGGCAAGTTGGTTCCACCCTGCGAACGGTTTGATACCGTAGTCTTTGGTTCAACGTCGCACGTTTTGTAATTTCTCCATGGGCCAGATTTCGGTCGCGAAGTCTCCACGTTCTGCCTGCTTAAAGGCCCGGCTGGGCCTGCCATAATGCGGGTCTTGCTTGGACGATCAGTCCGAACCATCGACTGCAAAGTTCACACGCGCGGTGGACAGTGAAACTCGGAATCCCAGCTGATGGGTCGCGTTGGGAATGCATCAGGTCACGTAGACCGTCAACACCCCGAATATCAGAGGAGGGCGCGTTGGGACAGCGGTAGTTGGCCTTCAGAGTCCCCCTCGTCACCATGGCTTGGCGCGGATCGTCAGAATTGTGCGTTGGACCCTGGAAGGGGTTTGGAATCTCGCCCTGCTCTGAACATACGACTTGCGCGCACACTATTGAACTTGTGTTTTACTGTCAGTATGATGCTGCGATGTGCGTGTGGGCTTTGTATACTCACAGTGTTTTGCCGCACGTTCAAACCGGCCAGCCCTCATTCACATGTCTGACTGGCAATTAGAAGGTTGTTGCCACCAGTTCTCCCACGTATAATTAAATGAATAATGGTGGCTGGATCTGGCAGGTAGTCGTACAACCAAAAATTGTTTGCGATTGAGTCGAGCCGAGAATTACACTCAAACGTTTCGACAAGTGTGCCAATAGTAAACAATGACGGGCGTTTGCGACAAGTTGTGGGCAAACGTAGCTTTCTGTATACTGTTATTGCAAGCGGATGGGCGTGGCCCCACCCCACACACTACCTACATGTGTTCATCGAGACCTGCTGATCTTACATGCACTTGCTCGCACGAGTTTGCGACGTCGAGTCGGGCTAGCTCCCAGTGAGAAACCAGGCTCAGCCAGATTCACTCACGTGCGACAGCAAGAGTGGAGTAGAACAGCGCGGTCAAAGGGGCAATGGGATCTGGAGGTAACGGTGAGATCCGGTGCACCCCGCGGTCCCGGGGTGGCTGCAGGATCGGCGGAGGGAGCGAGACCACAGGGCGGCGAGGGGGAGGAGGAGGAGGAGGAGGAGGAGGAGGAGGAGGAGGAGGAGGAGGAGGAGGAGGAGGAGGAGGAGGAGGAGGAGGAGGAGGAGGAGGAGAGGAGAGGGAGGTGGAGGAGGAGGAGGAGGAGGAGGAGGAGGAGGAGGAGGAGGAGGAGGAGGAGGAGGAGAGGGAGGCGGCGAGGGGGAGGTCGAGGATGACGAGGCGAAGGAGGAGAGGGAGGAGGAGGACCCCCGCTCCCTGACGCGACGCGGCCGGCCAGGCGGGCGGGGCGGGGGGCGGCGGCCGAGGGTGGAGCGGGTGCGGCTGCAGGTCAGCTTGGACGACGTGTTCGGCCATAGCTCCGTGAGGGCCTGCCTGGAGGGGATCGCGCGGGAGGCCTGGGCTATGGCGGAGGGGCAAGGAGGGGGAGAAGCAGGAGGAGCAGGAGGAGCAGGAGGAGGAGGAGGAGCAATAAAGGGGTGGAGGAGGAGAAGGAACGAGGAGGAGGAGGAGGAGGAGGAGGAGGAGTGCGAATGGGAGGGAGGGAGAGGGGGGGAGGAAGAAGAGGTTGGAGAGGAAGAGGATGAGGAGGAAGAAGAGGAGGAGTGGAGGGAGGTCGAGTAGGAGAAGGAATGAGCTGCCTCGGGGAGGAAGAAGGAGTAGAACGCGACCGCAGCTCAGTGTCCTCATCCAAATGGCCCCGAGAAGAACCCTGCGCACGGCGTTTGGGGAGCTCGCGTATATTAATCAGAAGGTCAATGTGCACAAGCATATAGATGTAGCTTGCATGCGGGCAAAGACGCGCTGTGTTGTACGCTATGTGTGGTTCGCAGGCGTTGCTGTACAGTGCTACTTCTTGGATAGTGTAGACCAGGCTGTACTCGATCTGTGCTGTCCAAGTGAAAGTACGAAGAGCACGTAAGCCGCGAAGTCTGAGCTGAGACATATATGACGTGCATTCTGGACAGCAGGCAAAGCCTACACAGGATGTTTTTCGAGAAAGCGCAAGGCTGGAGCGGAGCGTGGCTGGAACCTGAGCTGGAGCTGGAGCTGGGGCTGAAGCTGGTCTGGCGCTTGAGTGGGAACTGGGCTGAAGCTGGGCAGGCACTTGGCGAGAGCTGGTGCTGGAGCTGGGGATGGTATTGTGGTTGGAGAGAAGCTAGAGACGCAGCTGAAGCAGCATGCGAAGCTGCAGCTGTAGATCGCGCTGGAGCTAGACCTTCAACTAGACCTAGATCTGCGGTGCGAGCCGGCGCGACACCGGAGTTGATGCCGTCAGTAGCTCTGGGGCTCGAACAAATCTAAAGCTGGAGGTGGAAATTTGGTTGGAGCTGGAGCTGGAGCTGGGCAGGATCTCGGCTGGAGCTACGGCTGCAGCTGGACTGCAAGCAGCTGCTGGAGCGGGGCTGTAGCTGGAGCGAGACTGGAGCTGTGCTTCAGCTGGAGCTGGGGGTGGAGCTGCGGCTGGAGCTGGGGCTGGAGGCTGGAACCGGAGCGAAGCTGGAGCTGGGGCTGGAGTTGAAGCGAGGCTTGAGCTGAGTCGCGGCTAGGACTGGCGCTGGAGCATGAGAGAACGAAGAGCAGCAAATGCTGGGGGGGGTTTGGCTCCAGCTGTTCAACGTCAACTTCTGCGTGCAGTTCTGGCGAAACGAGGAGCCCCAAAACGTTGGAGAGCCTGCTCCATATAGTCAGAAGCTTGGGCGAAGGCACCTGGACGGTGAGAGTCAGGCACGGGAGTGGGGTGCCAACACGAAGCGTCCAGCCCCACCCGCCGACCCGGCCCAAAAATCAACAGCAACCTCCAGAACACAATCATTAGGGGCATCAAATGGAAAGGAAGAAATTCGTTGAAATGAGCACAACGTACTGAGAGAAGAAGTCTAACGAATGGGAAGGAAACGCCGAACAGGAAGGGGAACAGCATGAGGAGGGCAAAGACGGAGCCGAGGAGGAAGACGAGATTGAGGAAAACATGAGGAGGACGACGACACCGATCAGGACGATGACCAGGTTCGCCCCCACGTCTCCAGGGTGCGTTCTGGCCAAATTGTCGGGGGGGATCTCGCCATGGCGTTGAGATTATTGCCAGGGTCCAGAATACCCCAAGAGCGTTTTTAGAGCCACGGTGGCTCCCGAAACTGCTCGCGCGTCCTCCAAATCGTCGTCATCCTTTTGCTTCTTAATCGGCCAGCACCTTCGTCGTCATCTTGTTCGTCGTCATTGCAGTCGTGGTTGTTGTCGTCATCCTACACGTCATCCTCTTTCTCGTCCTTCTCCCTCCCAATCCACCTCCTGCGTACTTCCTCGTCTCTCCTCCCGCTCGTTCCCCCTCATCGTTCTTCGTGTTCCTTGTTACTACTTCTTCCTCCTCCTCGTGATACCATTATTCCTCCTGGTTCTCCTCGCCCCGCTTCGTCTTGTTGGTGATCCTCCTCACCCTTATCGTCCTCCCCTCGCTGGAGGTGAGACCTCCGCATTTACTCAGGCATGGGCGTTCCGCCTGAGTTCTCCTTACGCATGACCGTGTAATCCTGCACTCGTCTCGGCGCCGGCGTCTTACCTGTTCACTCTTGCCAGGAGCGCATGCACCGCTCCTTGAGCAAAGCTCGATACTGCAAGCATGCTCATATTCGTCGCTTGGGCCGGTCCCAACATCCCTCGTCCCTCATCACTGCCCCATGTCTCCCGATTTTTCTGGAACATGTCCCTCCATTTCTCTGCGTATTGTTCGGGACTCCTCTGACTCTGTTTGAAAGAAGGCGACAGACCGCGCGGTGACCTCGGAATCCCAAGAGATCTCACCGCACGGTCCGTCGCCGCACGGTTATGGGACCCCGTAGGCCCCAGTCGCCCGAGACGTCCTCGGAGAACGACCCAAATCCCAAAGCCGTGCTACGACAGCGAATCCCCATTGACTCACTACACGGTGTGGTCACCACACCGTTCGGAGCCTACCAGATTGGTGTAAAATTAAGGCTTTCAGCATTTGTTTTTTGTTGTGTCTTGTTTGTCTCATCGGAACGTTCTGGATGTTTCAAACATTTTGCTCCCGCTGCAGCGGGGGCTTCAGTTTAGCATCGGGGCTTTGCTCCCGTCGTTCAGACTGGCGCTCTCGCGCCAGCGCGGGCATCTTTCCTGGACCTTCATCATCGTTGTCGCATCCCCCTTTCCCCTCCTCCGCCTTCCCCTGGTCATCCTGCTCATCCTCCTCTTCCTCCTCCTCCTCCGCCTCCACCTCCTCGTCCTTCTCCTCCTCCACCTCCTCCTCGTCATAACAATAATAATCATCAGCATCAGCATCAGCATCAGTATCAGCATTATCATCATCATCATCATCATCATCATCATCATCATCATCATCATCATCATCATCATCATCATCATCATCATCATCATCATCATCATCATCATCATCATCATCATCATCATCATCATCATCATCATCATCATCATCATCATCATCATCATCATCATCATCATCATCATCATCATCATCATCATCATCATCATCGTCATCATCATCATCACCATCACCATCACCATCACCATCACCATCACCATCATCATCATCATCATCATCATCATCATCATCATCATCATCATCATCACCATAATTTGCATCCCTCTCTGCAGAGCTTTCGGCGAGTCCGCGCGCTTGTCCTAGCTGTTTCGTGGCTTCACCCCCCGCGACCCCCTCGCGGGCCGGGGGCGGCGAAGCCCTCCCGGGACCAGGGGGACCCGGCGCGAGGACGGACGGGAGGAGAGAACCTCAGGGGGCCCCACGATCGGGGGCGCGTCCGCGAAGGGGGGTGATGGCCACGGGGCGGGTGATGACTAGGGTTGAGTCGGGTCCGTCCTTCTACAGAGGAGGACTAGTCATGAATAGTCCGAAAATAGTCTGGGGACGATGTTTCTATCTATGTTGTGATTATTGTTGAGTATGGTTTGGATCTGTTGGGCGGGCTAACTGATCCTTGTTGGTATTGATTGATCCTTGTTGGTATGTTTTGATCCTTGTTGAGTATCGGGGGAACGCAGGGCTAAGTCGGGCCTGTCCCTCTACTGGGGGACTATTCAAAAATATACAGAAAATAGTCTGGGGACGATTTTTCGATTATTCTTTGTTACATTTTTTGATTGGTTTGACTATTCCTTCATTTGTCGCTCAAAATTTCGCCTCTAGGAGGACATGCCCGACCTCGGACCAGGGGGGAAGGGTATGCCCCCTGGGGCTCCCATCTTCGAGGTGTTCGGGCACTTTCGTCGCTCGTTAGACGTTCTCGCGCCTCGGAAGGGTTCCCAACGGCTGCGCCTCGTCGGGGAGGCTTCACGGGGGTGCCCAGGTCGTCCCGAGTGACCGCCGGAAGCTCGAGCGATGCCCTGAGGGCCACCACGCGCCGTACACTAAACCCGCATACAAAGGATGGGCTGCCTTCCCAAGGATACGCCGGATTTCGTAATAAAGGGAGGGGGTCTGGACCCTCCAAGACAAGCCATTTCAGACCTCCCCCGTGGGAGAACCCTCCAAAACATCGTCCCCAGACCCCCCCGGCCCTCCAAGATAGCCTGGAAGAGACCCCCCCCGAAATGAGACCCCCCTCCCTTTATTACGAAATCTGGAGTACCTTTGCATCCTTGCCCCCTCGGTCCATCCTTGGCCACTTTCGTCGGCCGCGCCCCGCTCAAGAAGCTTCGACGTGGGCGTCCAAGGCCCTTCCATCCTCAGTTATCGCGCATGCTTCTGGTGCGGGCCGACTGTAAGAACACGTTCATTTGTCACGACCCCAGACCCCCGACGTCATGATTTGTTCATAACGTCGACCCCCAGAGGTCCGGACCCATTCCCGGGACCGGTTTCTCATCCTGAGTCGTCTTTTGACGGTCCGAAGGCTCGGCGGGGGCCCCCCGGTGCCGAAAATGGCAGAACACCTCCCGTCATGATGTTTTCATGTCATTATTCGCGGGGGTCTGGGGTCGACGATGGCGCCCGAGGCGCAGCGGAGAGCTGCCAGTGTGCAGCGACCCGCCCTGGCCTTCCCCAAAAAGCCGCCCCCCCAGAGGTCGCGGCCGTGGAGGGGCAGCCCGACTGCCTCGCGGGGCCGGTGCCGCCCCCCCCGGTGCTCGCCGGCAGCAGGATGAAGACCCTGGAGCCCAGGGCAGGGGCCGATCGTCGAAGATCGGGTGGTGGTGGTGGTCATTGCATAAGGAAAACAAGTCCCGAGCAGAGCAACACGCACCACGACCACGACGACGCCGACGACGACGACGACGTCGACGACGACGGAGACGAGGCGCGCAGACGATCCGCACCGAAGCACGGATTCGGGAAAGGGCCCACCCTGCAGGTTCGGGAAAGGGCCCACCCTGCAGGTTCGGGAAAGGGCCCACCCTGCAGGTTCGGGAAAAGATCGGGGCTTAAGAGACGGGGGTCAATGCAAACGGGGGTCAGCCAGGGCACGGGATCCTGCAGGATCCTGCGAAGACCCCCTCTGGCTCACCCGGGTTAGCCAGCCGCTCGTGGCCGCGAGGCGGCCGCGCAGATTGGCTGACCCGGGTTTGCGCGAAGCCCTGCGTTGCAGTGTTTGTCCTGCATGGCAGTTTTTGGGTTTCCTGCTGGCCCCGGGTCTGATTGGCACGGGTTAGCAGATCCCCGAGAAGAAACAAAAAAACGCCATACACATAAATTGTTGGCGCTCCGCGCAGATTTCTTGGATCTGCGCTTGGGCCCCCCTCGCGGCGCCTCGGTCGCCGCCCGCGCAGATCCAAGAAGTCTGCGCGGAGCGCCAACAGCTTATGTTTATGCCGTTCGCTCTTCTTCTGGACCAGATCGGGCGAGAGGGGATCAAGGCGAAGTGTGCTTCCATGCTCGGGAATACCCAGAGATCCGAGGACCTTTTTTTTTCAGTCTGGCGTTTTTTCTTGGATTTCGGCCCTTGAGACGGGGCCTCTAGGGCCGCGGTTGGAAAACATCAAATCGACGGATGCCTGGGCATAGTGTGCATGGCGGCGCCGCCACAGAGTCACATCTGAAGCGGGGGATCAGGACATTTGGTCCGCACCCCCTGCCGCGCGCTTCCCCACTTGTCAGCCCACTCCCGCTTCAGAGGTGTATCTGTTGCCGTTACCCTTAGGGTCAATTCTCCGCCCACGTGGGCGCAAACGAGCGAGGCGAAACAACGGGGTCGTCTGCGCCGACCCTGGCGAGCAATTTGCCCGCGTGATGTCGCGCGCTCAAGCGCCCTCGCTTCCAATGAGGGGGGTGCCGCGCTGTCGGCCTGCGTATACGCCACCGCGTAAGGTCGTTGTGTCATTTCGCGTAAGACCCGTTTTCGGTCGTCGCTCAAATGGAGGAGGCAGGAGTGGAGGGGGCAGGATCGGAGGAGGAAAAGGCATCCATACCTTTACCCTTCCCTCGCTTTCCCCTTTTGGGCCTCCTCAGAGGCCCTCGTCGCCACCGCTTGATTCGCCTCGAAATTCTGGTCAGAACGCACCCCGGGAGAGGCCCAGGGAGCATCGGTATCGGGCGGGTGGTAATGGTGTTTGACCCAGATAGGGGGGGGAAGAAAAGGTCCCTAAAGGAGCCCTTTCAGGGGCCCTTTTGGAGCCAGCTGGTCCCCAAAAGGGGCCCTCGAGGGCCCGTGGATGGCCCTTCTCTTCACCCCCCCTTTGGGCCACCCCCCCGTTGCCACCCGCCCGACGGTATCGGCAACTTCTGGCTTCCCCAAACGCAACACCGACGGTCGAAAGAGCAGCCAGGAGCGGGCCCGCAGGAGGCGGAGGCGGGAGGCGGGAGGAGGGCCCCCTTGGAGCCGCGGCCGCGGGGGGGGGGGTCCTGCGGGCGTTTCCTCGCAAGGCCCCCTCGGGTACACCCAGGTGTTTCGAGAAGCTCCGCGCTTCCGCCGCCGGGGGGGCGGGGGGGCTTCGCCGCGACCACTCCCTATCCCCAGAGCTCCGGCGTCCGAGAGGTCCGAGCGACCCAGAGCCGAGCGCCGAGGAGCGAGGAGCCGGGTCCAGGGGAACGTGGGGTCAAGTCGGGCGTGCCCCTCTACAGGAGGAACATTCAAATATAATCCGAATGTAGTTTGGGGGCGAGTTTTCGATAGCTGTGGTATGAGTATTACGATTGAGCATTTGCGTGACTATTTTTCAATTGTCTTCCAAAACTCGCCTGTAGGAGGACATGCCCGAACTAAACGTAGGGCTCGAGTAGGCCGGAACTCGTGTTTGCCGACGCCGTGTGACGAGCGCGTCTTGGAGTTGGGCGGTCCAGTTTTCGTGGGATGTCTAGGGCGGCGTCTCGCGTCAGATTCTGGGCTGGGCCCCGTCATTTTCATGATGGCGCCGTCAGGCCAACCCCAGTCCCCCGAACCCGAGTCTTACGTCTCCCCGACAGGTGTCATGCTGCACTTCTGCTCCTGCCTTTTGCGCCTGCCTTCCAAGACCCCTCGCGCCGTGACAAAAAAACAAGCTTGCAACACAATCGGCCTCGAGCGGCCCTTACCCGTCCTTGGGACCGTCAAACACGACTCAGGATCAAGAGCTGGTCCCCAGGGAAGGGGTCCACACTTCCAGGGGTCCACGCCATGAAAAAATCCCGACGCCAGGGGGTCGTCGGCCACGCGCAGAAGGGGGTATGGGGGAGGGGGGGAGGCTTCTCAGAAGGACCGCGCCTTCTAAGAAGCAGCCTCCTTATAAGAAGCTTCCCCACGCCCCCTTTGCCCCCCTCTGCGCGTGGCCGAGTCTCGCTTGCTCGGCATCCACCGAGCATTTTCTCTGGGTGGAGGGCAAAGGGTGGAATCTGAAGTGCCGCTTCGATGGATTCTCGAGGCTCGAATCTGCCAAGAGGTGAACCACAAGACCGATGGATGTTCGAGGTGCAAAGCCCGTCTGGACTTCACCCCCAAGAAAATGCTCAGATCACAGCACCTGGCCCAGGGGTGGGTCAAGAGACACTGGAACAAGAAGGGGGGGGCATGACATGTGTGGTTGGGGATATCGTGGCCTCGCCATGATATCCCACCCACCCCAAATCATCACCCCCCTCTTGGTGGTCCCCGAAGCTCGAGGCGCGGCGGCAGGGGCGCCACGGCGGCGGGCCCCCTCTCCTGGAAGCCCTGGCCAGCGAGAGGCCGTGCCCTCCCCGGGGGAGAGCACCCCCGGAGACCCCCCGACGCGCCGCGAGTTGTTCCTCCACGGCCCGGGCCCCCACAGAGAGGCCTCGGCCCCTGCCAGGGGGGGGAGGAGGAGGAGGGGGAGGAGGAGGAGGAGGAGGAGAAGGAGGAGGAGGAGGAGGAGGAGGAGGAGGAGGAGGAGGAGGACGGGGAGGAGGAGGAGGAGGAGGAGGAGGAGGAGGAGGAGGAGGAGCAGGAGGAGGGAGGAGGAGGAGGAGGAGGAGGAGGAGATGGAGGAGGAGGAGGAGGAGGAGGAGGAGGAGGAGGAGGAGGAGGACTGGCTGGGCGCTCGGCGGGGACCTGGTCTGGCCAGGGCACATGCTTCACACCACACATTCACAGCAACCCGTCAGTGATCCCTCTGTACACGTCAGGGATCTGGGAAACTCATACCGCTCTTCGGCGGAAGGCCTCGCCTAAGGCGAGACAGCACGCTGGCGCCTGCCTTCGTCGGAGTGCGACATGGTGGGCACTCCTCTCCGAGGAGCTGGGAGTTCTGTACCGTGAACCTCCCGCAGACTCGGCAAAACAGGACACCGCGCAGGACCGCGAGGTCGTGGGACGAGTGCGCACGGGGAGCCCCAGGGTGCGAGATCGCGGCCTCACGCTCCGACCCGCACGTTATCTGTCGCGCCCCCACACACCGACCAGGGAAGAACTCGGAAACCTTTCCCCTCACGGCCTCAAAAACGCGGCCACAGACAATGCATTTATATCTTGAATTCACAAGCTTGACACTATGCCCAGCCGCCTCGAGTCTACTTCTGCGAGTGGCGGGAGAAGGGGGAGCCCTCGGCAGAGGAGGAGGACGCCCGACTCTATCTGACACGAGGCGGCGGCACGTTAAATTAACTTCACGATTAACATCCAGCAAACGCGACAGGACCTTCCCAGTCATGTCGTCTACTTCATTCAGTACATTCACGTGGTCCAGTGGGACCTCTCCTAAGGCGGCAGCCTCCCCAGCAAAAAAGTCAGCAACAAAATTCAGGAAAAACTCGACCCTAGAGACGCCCCAAACCTCACGAGTCCCCGCCGTGGAGTGGGCCTTGGTCCACAACACCTCCACAGAGCCTTCACGAGCATCCAGGAGCGTCCAGAGCTGGTCCCAGAGGTCGAGCATAGGCGACGTAGCAGAGATATGAGACCTGTCCCTACGGAGACCACGCACCAAAGGCAGATAATCAGAGTAAGCCACAATATCTCCCACAGTATGTCTCAGCAGCATAATCATAGCATACATTTCGGCCCTGGGGCTCGACTGAGCCGCTGTGGGAAGGGTACCCATGAGGATGGCGTCACAGGCCAGGTCCAAGCTCTGGAGGCTGTCCTCATCGAAACGAACCACAGACCACCCACATCGCCTGAGCCTCCAATCCGAAGCGTAAATACCCCCAGAGCCGTCCAAACCGTAACGACCTCCACGCACCACCTGGTCCCCCACGAAGAGGCCCCAGGACTTCACAATCTCGACGGGCGGCGGAATGGGCGCGACAGCGGCAGCCAAGGGCGGGAGCCCACGAGTCCAGAACGCACTCCTGACATGCTCGGGCTGATTCGCCATCTCGACAAGGTCCAGAGAGCGATGCATCGCGCTGCTGGCGATCGAGGCATTGGCCGAGCATTCCCAGCAGCGGTGGAGGCTAGTTTCCCGAGCGGCCCCACACCTAGGACAGATGCCGTCTGTTTGGTACCCCGCATCTTGAAGCCGAGCTTCGGGCCAGGTACCTGCCGTAACAATGCACACGAGCAATCCGGCATCAGCGTATTGTTCATTCTTGATCATCTTAGCATGCATTCTTCGGAACACCGTGAAATCAGCACATCCACCCAAACCTTCTCCACAAAAATGCTGAGCCGATTTGCTAGCATGTCCCCGAGAAACAGACTGCCGCACAGCAGCACGAAGATGAAACATGAAGTCGCGCGCCTCCAAGCAGAGCTCTCCGCACGGCGTGCCCCACTGTGTAGGAGAAGTGGGCGACCAATCCAAATCGAGCAGGGTGCAGATCGTGGCCGCGATGGGGCCAGCCACCGTGCGCCAGCGGCGCTGAGGCGGGAGAGCAACGAGCCGAGCCCGATGGTGCTCCCACGCCTTGCGCACCCCTTGCCGTTGCCCAGGGGACAAGGCATGCCATACACCTGCAATAGAGGATAACTGTTCAGTACGCAGCCGATATTCAGGATCCTGACTCAGGGGGTTCATCAGGCTGAGGACGGTCGAGGTACATGCACCTTGACTCCAGTATCCTGAACACTTAGCGGCCTGCGATCGGAAACTCTGCAGATCGGACACGGTCAAACCTAGCACAGAGTGACCCCACGATCCGACGCTGAGCACACCAGGCTTAAAGATCTTGCGGGATCGACCGCACAGGCGAGCGAGATAGGCCAGCTTACGAGAGCGCTTGAAAGCCGTCCGCTGGCGCAGCTTGATCTTCCATGCACATCTCCTCCTCCCCGCCGTGGTCATGACCCCCAGATCCTTTACCTGCCCTTTTGAATGAGATAGAGACCCCCAATTCATCAAACTTAGCAGACAACTCCTTGGCCAGATCAGAGGACGATGCAACTGCAGCAGACTTAGGCGAGATTAAACAGCCAAGCGTGCCCACATCTCGGCAGAACTCGGCGGCTGCAGCAGGCAGAGCAGAGACAATGTATTTGCGCGTACCTTGCATGTACTGTGTAATGTCATCGGTGTATGAACGAATCGGCACCACTGGGGGACGACAATGTGCACGCTCGAGCACTCCATGCAGATACGTCTTGACCCATGGAACCGACTGCGAACATCCAGCGATAATAGACTTGCCCGTGCCAATGACCTGCGAGACAACCCCTTCCACCTCGAGCATTCTAGGGCTAGTGTGCACAAGCATGCCGAAGTAGAGGAGGTGAGGGGGATAGTCAACCTTCAGAGCCAGCTGCACCAAGAGGGCAGGCACAACAGAGTCAAAAAACTTCTCCATGTCCCAATGCAGAGAGGCCGAGTCAAACTTCAAAGCACCTGCAACTTCGTGGCACACTTCGCGCAGAAGCGCTGTTTGCAACGCTGAGGACTTACGCACTGCACTGTCCCAGAAGTCCGTGTGCTCAGCCGTCATTCATGGATGTGATCACCACGCATACGTGCATACATGCGGTACATAGCGGAACACTTGCTGATTGCGCGCTCGTCGTGCACAGACTTGGGAAGCAACGCCATGATATTCAAGAAACACTGCTGCGGGAACGTCAAGGCCTGCTCGCACATATTGAACAGGGCTGCCAGACACTGGACCGCTTGCCACGGCAACTGCAGGAAAGCCCTGGGGGACCACTGGTCGACGCCTACAGCTGTGCCACTAGCAAAGCAAGTTGCCGCCTGCAGGACGTCCCGAGGCTCAAATTCTGGCAACTCCAGAAAGGAGGAGGAGGAGGAGGAGGAGGAGGAGGAGGAGCAGGAGGAGGAGAGGGCCGACCCCCGCGCGGCGGCCTCGGCTCTCCGCCAGTAGCCCGCGCCCGCCTCGCGGCGCGCCGCCTCCCTCGGCCCCAGGCGGCCGCCCCCCCCCACAGGGGGAGGGCCGTGCTTGCTGTTCCCACCCCGAGCCAGGAGAGGCTGCGTCCAGACAGAGGAAGCTTAAGTCGGGCCTGTCCCTTTACAGAAGGAACATTCACTGTGTGTGCAGGTATATATATAGATACACAAACAAGTCTCGAGACGACGTTTCTATTATTTGTGGGCCACGTTTGCGGATATATGTTTGGTGGACTGTAGTGATGGATGGGGCTTCCGGGAGAACCCGAACGGTGATAACCAGACGGCGGAAACAAAACAAAACAAGTCGATATATGTTTGATTGTCCTATTTTTGTTCCGTCCAACGCCCGCCTGTATGGGGTGCCGACGGAGACCTAGCACGGAGACCGAGCACTCCGCGCGGGCCTACCTCGTATGGACTTCGCCTCTCCTGGCCGAGCCGCTGTTTCACGGCCCACGGCCCCGAGGCCAGGACGGCCCGAGGCCCAGGAAGGTCCCCCGGAGGCCGAAAGGAGCGAAGGAGCGCTCCCGCCTGATGTTTCGATGGCCCCAGTAGTCATGGCGCCAACATCGCAGAGCGGATTTCGTTCGGAAAACAATCGGGTGGGTCCAGACTGTCCTGGAGAATGTCGTTCCGGATTTCGAAGTGGATTTCGCGCGGATTTGTTTGGGCCAGGAATGAAGACTACAAAACATCCACGTGATATTCACTTCGTTTTTCGCTCGCCGTTTCGGGGTCCTGCAGTGGCAGAAATCAATGCAAAAATCCGCCGCAGTGACAGGGAGTCTGGGGCCCTGGGAGCCTCATCCGAGGAGCAGAGGATCGACGAGTGCGAGGGCAGCCTGCTCAAGATCCAGTCCGACCCGGCGCAGCTGAAGTGGCTGGAGGGCTTCATGAAGGAGGCCAGGCCTCTCGGCGTCCCTTCCGCTCCGATCCCCATCAAGCCCCCCCCTCCCCACTTCCCCCTTCCATGTCGACTCGGTGTTCCGATCCGGGTTCCGACTTCTAATTGGAGGCATACCAGCCTGCCGATTCCCGCCGAATCGACTCCGCCCGTGTCGGCTACCGATTCCCGCCGATCCGATTCATGTCGATCGCCGATCCTGCTTATCGACTTATCAATTGGCTTCTGGGCTCTCCTGGCTTCTACCTCCCCCTCCGCACACACACACACACACACACACACACACACACGTGGCCATCTGGGCCGCAAGGGGCGCATAGACCTGCACTATTTCTTGTTGCGTTAGGCTCTTAGGGCATGCAACGGCTCGCCTACTGCAGGCTGGCTAGAGCGTGCTTTTTGATTTGGGCTTGCCTACGTTGTTTCACTTCTGTGCTGGTTTTTGCCTTGCACGTGGTGCGCAATGCGTGCAGCCGATTCTGGCCACCACGCTGTCCACTCCTCTCTCTCCTCCTCCCCCCCCTTCTCCGCCTCCCTCCTCCTCCAGGGTAGAGGTGACGTCTACCCAGCCGGCCTCTTTAAGGCACATTCGCTAGCGAGTTCAAGCTTATATCCAATGGGTGCGGTTATAGTCCCCATGAGGGTCAGCGGATATGTATGGTGCTTGCTGGGCGCTGGACGGGCATCGTGTGCTGTGGTTATGATGTCGAGTTCTTTTGCGGGCAAGTAAAAACACACACACACACACACACACACACACACACACACACACACACACACACACACACACACACACACACACACACAGCACTCACATGAGGAAGAGGTACCGATAACGTCACCCTTCCCTTGTTTTCCCCTTTTGGGGCCTCCTGGGTGGCCCTCGTCGCCGCCGCTGGGATCGCCTCGAAGTTCTGGTCAGAAGGCACCCCTGGAGAGGTCCAGGGAGCATCGGCATCGGGCGGGTGGTAACGAGGAGTGGCCCACATGGGGGGAGCAGAAAAGGAGCCTAAGGGGGCCCTTTTGGAGGCCCTTTTGGAGCCAGCTGGCCCACCCAGAAGGGGCTCTCGAAGGCCCGTGTTATGGCCCTTCTCTTCGCCCCCCAATTTGGATCACCCCACATGAATTGCCAGCCGCCCGACGGCATCGGCACCTTCTGGCTTCCCCAAGCGCAGCGCCGACGGTCGAAAGAGCAGCCGCCGCCGCTGGCGAGGGCTCCTCTGCCCGCGCCGGCCCGCCGGGCCCCTCTCCGCGCCGGAGCGGACACTGGCGCGCTCTGCGCGCCGCTCGGCTATTCTTAAGCCTTGCCTGTCCCTCTACAGGGGGAATATGCAAACATAGTATGTGTGCGTAGGTCTATATATCGTCTGGGGACGATTTTGTGAGTATGTTTGACTATTCTTCGATTTTTGTTGGAGTACTTTCATTTTTTCGCCCAAAATCCGCCTGTAGGGGGACATGCCCGACCAAATGCTATTCTCGAGCAGGGGGTCGCTCGAAAAACGTTAGCATGGCCCTCCAAGGCCCTTGCATCCTCACCGTGCATCCTTAGGGTACGGGTTGACTGCATCGCTCGGGCCCGTTCGCCTCGTCCTCGCAGGGTTTGCGCCGCGGCGCGCGGACTTCGTGGAGCGGCGCCGGAGGCTCCGCCAGTGAGGGGGGGCGGCTCCGCGTCAGGGTGGCTTCGTTTGTCGGAGGGGCCCCTGGGCGTCCCCGCAGCACTGGGCCTTCTGAGAGGTGGTTGAGGCCTTCCTCGACGGCAGAATGGCGACGGTGAGGGCGTTGCTTAAGGAACGTGCACGGTGGGCTGCAGACTCTGGAGGGTTCCTTTGTCGGATGAGGGCGGCGGCAGCATCCACTGCCAATCCGCGATTGGGGTGTCAGTGGCTTCCAGACCCTGGAGTCCTTATCCAATGCCTCCATGTCCACTGCCCCCACCGCATCGGAAGGCCCTCTCCTTCTCACCTCCCCCCCTTCCTCGCCGCCGGCAGGAGGAGGAGGAGAAGGAGGAGGAGGAGGAGGAGGAGGGGGAGGAGAGGGAGGAGGAGGACGGAGGAGGGAGGAGGGGGGAGGAGGAGGGAGTGCAGCGACCCCGAATCGCCCACTCTCATCGGCCAGGGGGGGAAGGGTTCCCCCCGCAGTGTGGGCCTGCACGCTCCGGGACGTTTTTTGTTCCCCCTGGGGGCCTCCGGCAGCCGCGCAGCAAAGGTCGCCCTTGCCTTTCAGTCGGGCGTTTTCTCGGCTGGTCTGGCCCTCTTCCCGAGTTGGCGCCGACAGGGCGACTCCTCGCTGCATGTGCACTTCGCGCGTTCTCGCGCTAATTATCTTGCGCTGTACCCCAGCCTCGGTCTTTCCGCCCTGTGGACTTATCCTTGCGGGCCGCTAATCAAAAAAAGTTAAGTCGGGCGCGTCCCTCTACAGGAGGGAATTTCAAAAATATCAAAAACAAATCAATGGGGAAGATGTTGTCTAGTATTTTTTGCATATGTTCGAATATTTGGTTGGGGCTATTTTTGCTTCGTCGTCTGAAGCTCGCCTGTAGGGGGGCATGCCCGACCTAACCCGTGCCCAGGGTCACTCTTGCGTGCAGCCGACTGGGGCGCGCGGCGCCACTCCGAGAACTCCGCGCGGAGCTCCGACCTAATGTGTCCCCCAGCGGTGCTTGCACCTAGGATTAGGTCGGGCATGTCGCCCTACAGGCTGATTTTGGACGAGAAATCCAAAAGAGTCAGCAAACATTCAAAAATAGCCAAAACATACTCAAACATAGTCCTCCTGTAGAGGGACAGGCCCGACTTCAACCTAGGAGGTCGTACTTCGCTGGATGATGGTGCTCGGACTTGCTGGGGGGTTTTGAGCTGTCGCCGCGTGCCCGCCTGGGGGGCGCCCGTGGGGAGTGTTTGGGATCCTCGCGCGCGCCTGGGCCAAACCCCCCTCCTTTTCCGGGCAGCCGCAACGACCGTCCGTGGGGTGAAGTCGGGCCTGTCCCTTGACAGGAGGAATATTCAAAAACAATCCAAAAACAGTCTGGGCACGATTTTTGGATCATTTTATACTATTTTTGGTTTTTTGGCTGACTCTTGCTGCGTTTCCGTCCACAATCCGCCTGTACGGGGACAGGCCCGACCTAACCGTGGGGGGTCCTGCGGATCCCCCCCCCGCACATCTCGGTGCTCTCGCGCGCAGATTGTGGCGATCGCGGCGAAGGCCCCGCTCCGGCGCGCCCCACCCCGCCCGAGCGTTGTATTGGCACCAGGGGCCCCAACCCCGAGGGGAAAAACGGTGACATGGGCCAGGGGCCCCAGCCCCGAGATGAGAAGGAAAACAATGTCCAGGGCCCATGTCGATCCGATCGATCCGATCCGGCACCGAGTCCGGCCAGTCCGATCCGGCTCGATTGCGGCGCTCCGGCGATCCGATTCGGCCCGACGTTTGCATGGCGTTGCTGTGCGTCTTGGCGCAGTCGCTTCGATTCGATACCGACTCTGTGGCCCGATAGTGCGCAGAGTTCGAGTCGATCGGATTTGCCGATTCGATGTAGACTGGTCTTGCCCGTCTGCGTTCGGTTCCTCGTCGTCGTCATCGTCGTCGTCGTCTTCGTCGTCGTCGTCCTCCTCCTCCGAATTTTGCCACCGCCAGGGACGGCGGGTATATTGGTCTCAGCAAGGCAGCAGCACAAGGGCTCAGGCTTGTGGATTAGCCGAGTGCTCGGTGAATCCGCGTTCCAGGAGCAGCAGCCAAGTAACGATTGGGGGAAGTAGGCCGTGAGGTCGAGCGGGACGACCTCGATCCTCCGATCCCAGATCTTCGAGACCTTGATCCTGAAACCTCGATCCTGGAAGCATCGATCCTCGATCCCTCAAACCTCGATCCCGGATCCTCGAGCACTCGAACCTCGATCCCCGATCCCCGATCTGAGACCCCTCGAAGCCTCGGACCTCGATCCATCCTTCCCTCGATCGTTCGATCCATCGTCCTCTCGATCCTCCGATCTGTCGACCCTCTAAAAAAGCAGACCCGAGGTCAAGCTGGACGACGTGCTCCGACACCCAGCTGTGGCCGCCGCGCTCGGGGAGCTGGCGCATGGCGTGCCAGCCAAGATCGAGGAGACTCCTCGGGCCGGGGCCCCCCCGCAACGTGTTCGGCGCCCACGGGGGTCCGCGGATCCCCTCTGGCTGACCCTCGTGGGCGAAACACATGTCCGTATGTGATCGTTTTCTCAGCCATTGGTTTGCCGATCGGCGCGGGCCCTCGCACCCCCCCCCCCTGGAGGAGATCTTGGCTGTTCTTGGCGCATGTTTCGAGCAGGTGGAGTCTCCCACACACGACCCGCTGTTGCAAACAAAACGCTCACTTTCCACGGCCACGCGGGCCATTCGGACCGCGACCTTGCGTATATATACGGGGTGTCTTCTCGCAGATGCCTCGCGCGGAACGTACCCGTGGGACCGCGTATCTGCGGGACTGCGCCGCGGAATCCAGTCCGTAGGGAGTGGATATGGTGATCGTTGTTTTACGCATTGTTTTTCCGATCGGCGTGGGCCCCCCAACCCCCCCTCCCCCCCCATGGAGTAGATCTTAGCTGTTTTAGGCGCCTGCTTCGAGCAGGTGGAGTCTCCCCTCATAGGACCCAGTGCTGCAAACAGTCGCACTCAGCAGAAGTCTGGAGGCAGACCCCCCCTTTCCTCTCCCCCCTTCCGCCCAATGTAGAAACGCCGAAAAAAACGTGTTCATGGATACATTCGCCGTTCGTGAGACCCAGGCTTGGGAGCCACGTGTGTCCGATTCCCCCAGGTCCGCCCTCCGCTGACCCTTGACTGGGAACTGCTGCGCGGCCGGCTGGGCATGGCACTGCTTCCCCCGAGATCCGACGCTGCAACAAGATGCTGCATCTCAAATACACCAAACAAAAAAAAAACATCACGACCAGAGCCCCGGACCCCATGTCCCTGCGTCACTCCTCAAGCCAGATCGACAACTCTCTGGGAGGGTCCCGGGGTCCGAAGCCCGGGCGAAAGCGCCCGCTGTGAAGACGCTGCGACGCCAGGATCTCAGGGGCTTGAGAGCTGCCGGGCGGCCAGGCGGGCTTCGCGGCAGGGCCGCGGCCAGCCCAGGCGTGTGCTGACCCGGGGCCGGTGCGTCCCCGCATCGGGCGCGGGGTCAGGGGATGGAGGGATCGAGGGGTCGGGGATCGAGGCACCGAGGCTTCGAGATGCAGAGGCTTCGAGGATCCAGGGGTCGAGGGAGGTCGAGGATCGAGGGGCAAGGGGTGGTGGGCATCCCGGGCCCTGGCCGGACGGGGCCTGTGTCGACCCCCGGGCGGGGTGCGTCCTCGAGTCGGGCGGCGGGGGGGGGGCGGCTGCGAGAGAGGAGCCCGCGGTGCCGGGCCATGGCGCGGGGCGCCTCGACGGCGGCGCATGCAGAGCTCACGGGGGCGGGGGGGGCGCACCAGATCGAGGCGTCAAGGATCGAGGGGTCGTCGAAGGGTCGGGTGAAGTCGGGCCTGTCCCTCTACAGGAGGAATATTCCAAAATAGTTGTTTAAAAGATATATAGTCTGGGGGCGTTTTTTTGTAACTAGTCTGCACTATTTGGGAGTATGTTTTGACTTATTTTCAACGTTCGCCCAAAATCCGCCTGCAGGGGGCATTCCCGACCGAAGGGCCGGGGGTGGATGGAGTGAGAATTCAGATCAGGGCGTTAGCATTGTCACGAGAAGAGCTGCTGAGCACAGGTGGCCTCCGTAAGGCACGGTGTGACTCAAGGCACCACCGCCGTTGCAAAAAACCGTCGCCCTCTGAGCTGAAGGGGTCGAGGGGCAGAATAGGGTCGGGGGATCGGGCGTCGAGGTCACAAGGTTTCGAGGGCCTCGGGGTCAAGGATGGAGCGCTGCTTGCGCGACTCCTCTCTCCTCCCGCCTCCCTCTCTCTGACTCTCTCTCTCCCTCTCTCTTTCTCTCTCCTTCTGGCTCTCCTCCTTCCCGAGGGGAAAGGACACACAGACACCACCATTAGTCGATTCCCATGAACAGGTTGGAAAACGTGGGAAGTGCAGGGGAAGACGGAGCACCGGATAGTCTTGAAAAAGATAGGGTGTCCTGGGACTGCGTACATTCATTTGTGTGTCCCTGGGCCTCTTCATCTCTCTCTCTCTCTCTCTGTCTCCTCCTGCCTCCTATTTCCTACCCGCTTCTCTCCTGCCCCGCCTCCGACATCGCTCTCCCCGTGGGCTGCGAGCTGCGCGGCTGTCGCCACTTTCCAGGGGCGCCCTCGAGGGCGCGCGGTTAGGCGCGCTCCGCGTTTTGGCTCTGATTCCCCGTCGTCCTTCTCTTCTCCTCTGGGGGGCGGCGCGAGAGTGCGAAGCTGTTCGCGCAGCGCGAAGCGCGAAGTTATGAGGCGGCCCTGCTTTCGTCGGTTCCCAGGAGTCCCAGCGGAGTGGTGGGACATGCGCATCCAGGGGAGACCTCGCGGCTCCCCTCAGGGCTGCCAACTGCGCAACCGTCGCCGCTTCCTCTGGCTCCTGGAAGGTCCAGCGGAGCGGAAGCACACGCAGATCCAGTCGAGACCTCGCGGCTCCCTGAGCGGCTGCCAACTGCGCAACTGTCGCAGGTCTCTTAGGCTTCTGAGGCAAGCGGATCCAGTCGAGACCTCGTGGCTTCTCTGAGGGGGATGCCAACTGCGCAACCGTCGCCACTTTCGTGGGATCTTGGGAGGCCCAGCAGAACGGATGGACGCCGGATCCGGTCGAGACTTCGCGGCATCCTCGGATGCGCTCGTAGTTGTCATACGTTTTGCGGTGCGAATTGTGAGATCACGCGCGTGAATGGGGGGAGAGTTGAAGGTTGTCCGAAGGTGTTTGTAGATTGCTGGTGCCTCTGGAGGCGGGACGTCCGCGGGTGGACTCTGGGGATGGAGGCGCCGATATACAGACACTTTTCGCCGTCAGCGGCGAGGCGGCGAATTCCGCTCCAGCGAGAAGCTAGAAAGGGGCACTAATTAGTGAATTGGCCAGCGGGCAAAGAGCAGAGAGAGGGGAGGCGGCCGAGAGGAAGAAGGGACGCTCGGACGTCGAAGAGGAAGAAGGTTTCTTTCTGTGCGTGCTATTCGCGGGCCCCGGTGTCCCCCCTCCCTTAGAAGCTTCGAAGATGTCGAGGTCATGCTCAGGGGCAATATTAGGGTTAAGTCGGGCCTGTTCCTCTGCAGGAGGAGTACTTAAAAATAGTCAGAAACTAAGATGGGGACGATGTTTCAACCATTTATGAGTATCTTTGAGTATGTTAGAGTCCTCTCTATGTTTCGTCCAATGCAGGGGGACAGGCCCGACCTAGTATTAGGGGGAACGGGCTCAAGGGAGATGCGTTGACCCAATCGCCCACTCATCCCCGATAGGCGCCCGAGAGCCTACCCCGTCAAGGAGCGTGCGGACTCCCGATCGGGGGGGGGGGGGGGGCTTGTCGCCGATCTATCGGCGATGCATCGCCGATGCCACTTCGACGTTGTTTCCTTTCCCTGAGCCGGCCCCCCCCTGACGTCGCGTCTCGCGGGGGAGGGTCGGGAGGGGGAGGAGATCGAGCACGAGATCGAGGAGGAGGGAGGAGGAGATCGGGGAGGGAAGAGCTCGAGGACGAGGTCGAGGACGAGATCGAGGAGGAGGCAGGAGGGAGGTCGAGGAGGTCGAGGATGAGGTACCCCCCCGAACGTCCCCCCGTCGCCTCCCAGACCCCCGACGTCAGGATTTTCGAATGACGTCGACCCCCAGGGGTCTCGACCCATTCCCCGGGACCGGCTTCTCATCCTGGGTCGTTGTTCGAATATGTATGTATATGTATGTATGTGTGTATATATATGGGTGTAAGAAAAACGAAGAAGAAACACAAAAAACAAACAAACATCCCGTCATGTTTTCTTCACCGCTCGAGGGGGTCTCGCCTGCGGGTCTGGGTCGAGCCCTGAGCTCGCGCGCGGCGCGCCAGGGGGGGGGGGGGGGCACGCGGCGGGCGCTCCGCCCCGCCTCAGACCCCCCCGCTCTCTGGGCCCTCACGGATCGGCCCGCCCCCGCTCGCGAAAGGCCGCGCTCGGGCGGGGCGCTCCAGAAAGGGCCTCGCCGTCGAGGATCGAAGGCTCGGCAGCGAGCGAGGGGGAGGAGGAAGAGGAGGAGGAGGAGGAGGAGGAGGAGGGGGAGGAGGAGGAGGAGGAGGAGGAGGAGGAGAGAGGAAGGGAGGAGGAAGGCATGTCCCTCCACAGGAGGAATACTCCAAAATGGTCAAAAGATAGTCCGGGGACGATTTCCCCATAACATTTTGAGTCTTTTCGAATAGTTGTTGGCCACATTTTATGTTTCCTCGAACATCCGCCTGTAGGGGGGCACGCCCGACCTAAAAGGAGTTGCAGGAGTGGAAAGGGTTCTGGTCGTGCTTTCTCGCCGACCAGTGATCCTTTCACGGCGTCGGTTCTCTTTGCGGGGTGGTGCGAGGATCGCGAGGGGAGGAGGAGGTTCGGCGTCTCGAGCGCGGGGGGGGAGAGTCGAGGAGGAGGCGGAGCAGGAAGAGGAGGAGGAGGAGGAGTACGAGGAGGAGGAGGAGGAGGAGGAGGAGGAGGAGGAGGAGGAGGAGGAGGGAGAGTGATACAGGGAGAGGCAGGAGGTGGAGGAGGAAGAAGAGAAGCACGAGCAGGAGGGGAGAAGCAGGAGGAGGAAGGGGGGGACGGAGGAGGAGGAGGAGGAGGAGGAGGAGGAGCAGGAGGCGGAGGAGGAGGAGGAGGAGGGGGAGGGGGAGGAGGAGGAGGGGGGGGCGGAGTAGGAGAGGGGGACAAGGCGCGCCTGGAACCTAGAACCTTTGACAATTCGGAGACCGAGGGTTCTTCGTTCTAGTCTCTCCCCTGCTATTGACCAGCCGTCGGGCTGAGTCCCAGGCCAGCCCGACGATGCCGATGACGACGCCCGACGCCGATGTAAGCGCAGCCGTCGACGCCACCGAACACGACGCCGACAAGAACAATGCCGCCGAAGACGACACCGAACACGACGCCGACGATGTCGGCACAAGCGCTGGCGGAAACGATAACCCTGATGCCGCCGACGACGATGTCAACAGTCCTTGACAACGGCGAGGACGACGATGCCGACGGCAAGGCCGACTACCACCACTACGTGGGACCACGACGGGAGCGACGAAGACGACGGACGCCCCCGCCGACGGCAAGACCGAAGACGACGCCGACGATGCCTCTGGAGGCCTCCACCAGTCCGCAGAGGTCGCCAGAGACTTTTGGAGGCACTCAGAGGCGCAAGGCTGGAATTTCGATGATCGAACATCGACCGACGACGAAGACGACGACGACGACGACGACGACGACGACGACGACGACGACACCGCGGCGACGACGGCGACGACAGTGCCGACGTGAACGCCGACGACGACGACGCAGTCGCCAACGCTGGCGGAGCCGCCAGCGCACCGCGCCGACCGACGACTCCCGCGCGGGCCCCGACCTCGTCTCGTTGTGAAGAAGTCGCCACGGGAGGTGTTGCCAAAGTTTAGTTGTTTCGGCCTCCGAGGGCACCCCACATTACGCCTTAAATGGGCACGGGCGAGCTACCCAGAGGAGCACGCACGACTCCGGCGTTCGCCTCGCTTCGCATCGGGCCCTGGTCGGAGGCGAGCAAGGGGGGGAGAAGTGAGAAGGAGAAGGCCTTCTCAGAAGGCGGCGGGGCTTCTCAGAAGCCCCGGCGCCCTCTGAGAAGTCTGGTGCGTCCTCGGGGGAGGTTTGGGAGACTTCTCAGAAGGCCGGGGGACTTCCGAGCCTTCTGAGAAGGCCTGCCCCTTCTCACTTCCCCCCCTCGCTCGCCGCCGATCCGAGGGCCCTCATCAGGCCCCTTGGGCCTTGGGCCGTCGACGAACGGTGGGGGATGAGCAACTTGTCCCGCGGAGGGGGCCCGTTGCGCAGCTGACAGCCTCCGGGGCAACGCGGTCTCGCTTGGATCTACGCAGGGCTGCACGCCGCTGGACCTGCCAGGAGCTCACGAAGACAGCGCCTGCCGTACAGCTGTCACGCGATCGCACGCATGGCTGAAGGGGGCGTGGATTAGCCACGGGTCCCGCTTCCACGGGAAATCGCGGATTTCCGCCGCCGAACGCGGCGGCAACGGCCGCATTTTGGGGAGGGCACCTCCCCCGATCCATGGATTTGGCGACCGCGCGCCAAGCCCATGGACTGCTAATCCAAGTTCTCGCGCCCCCGAAAGATAGCGATCGTTGTGCCGTTGGCAGCGCGCGCGGAGGGCGAGACCTCCAGGGGCCCGCGCAGCGAGCGAGTCAAGGCGTCGGAGGTCTGGGGCCAGGGGCAGTGGGCAGGGCTGCACGCGCGACGGCGCCGACGATGACGACGACGGCGACGATGACGTTGACGACGGCGACGACGCCGACGGTGGCGCTGACGACGACGCCGATGACGCCGACGACACCCGACGATGGCGATACCGACTCGGACTAAAGCCCAGACGCCCAAGTCAGGACCACTTTGTGCTGTCGCGGGCGCCCGGCCGCTGGAAGAGGGGCAGGCCCCGGCATGCGTGGGCAACATAATTGTCCAAGCATGCTGAGCAGATTTGTCGAAGTTCGGGTTGGAACTGATCAGATTTGGGCACGTTTCCAGCGGAAGCCTGGGAAGCAGCGGTGCGCAAATGTTTTGTCTAGCGCACGGTCGTGCCATTGCTCATTTGCCTACGGACGCACTGCTTCACTCATTCATGTGGGCGATACTACCACTGCAAACAATCACGAGGAGGAGGAGGACGACGACGATGACGACGACTGCGATGGTGCCGACGTGAATGCCGACGACAGCGGCGGCGGCTGCGTCGGCGACGACGACGACGACGGCGACGACGACGACGACGACGACGACGACGGCGACAATGGTGCCGACGACGACGCGGACGCTGGCGCCAGAGACGGTGACGGGGCCCGTGCCGACGACGCCGGCGACGACCCCCCGCGCGAAGCAGGAGCAGCGCGCGGAGCTGCGCGCGCTGCAGGAGCGCGTCCAGGCCCTGGAGCCCGCACCGGCGCCCCTGGGAGGCGGGCGGGCGGCCGCCGTCGCCCGTCGCCCGTCGCGCCGTGGTCCCAGACGCCATCGTGTCGCGCCGTTGAGGGCACGGTGGGTTCGCGTCGTGTCGACTGCGTGTTGCCATCTCACCGCCAGGAGCTTCGGCCCAGCGTGTCGTGCCGCTGGCTCTGGCCCACCACGCCTCGGCGCGACGGGCCACCCAAGTCCCGGTCCCCAAGCGTCAGCGTCTCAAGTGCTTGCCGTGTCGCCCCGCAGCGTGGAGCAGGGCGACGCACGATCCGCTTTCAGGGCATAGCGTGTTACGGGTGCCGCCGCCGCGACCGCGTCGTGTCGACCGGCAGCGACCCCGCTGCCGGCGTTTGATTTTGAACGCCGCTGGCAACACGGAACAGGTCGATGTTGAACGATCTGACATTTCGGAGACGGCCGATCCTGCAAGGTTGAACGATCATCGCGGTGTCAGGAGCCAACTCCGAAGTCGACACGGCGCGAACTTGCCGTAGGGGGGAGGGGGGGAACACAACGTGCAGGACCACTGGCGCCTCCGAGAGGCGATTGGGCGCGCGGAAGGCATCTGTGGTCTTTTTGTTATTAGTTGTTTTGCCGATCGGCGAGGGCCCTCGCACCGCCCCTCCCTCCCCCCCATGGAGCAGATCCTGGCTGTGTTTGGCGCCTGCTTCGAGCAGGTGGAGCCTCCCCGACAGGACGCACTGCTGCAAACAGTCGCATGAAGCAGGGGTCCAGAGCCAAACGTAAGTCGGGCATGTCCGTCTCCCAGAGGAATATTCAAAAATAATGCAAAAATGGTTTGGTGACCATTTTCTGAGCATGTGTTCATCAATATGTTTGAATATTTGCGGGGTATTTTTATTTTTTCGCCCGAAATCCGCCTTTAGGGGGACAGGCCCGACCTAAAGCCAGACCTACCCCTCTTCCGCCCAATGTCGACGCGTCGGATAAGAAAACGTTCACTTTGCCACTCGCTGTCGTCGGCGCCCCGTCGTCCCAGAAACCTTCCGGCGCGTCGCGGACGAGCACGACGGGCGTCGCCCTGGCATCGGGAAAACAGGGCAACAGGGAGGCTCCCGGCAACCTGTTTTTCGGCATCTGGGTGGGGCGGTTCGGGGTTTTTGGTCGACGAGCGCGTTCCACTACTCGCAAAGCAACTACTCGCAGATGGCCTGGATCCCCCGCGGGGGATCGACGATAAATCGCATCAAAGCAGGCATGTGTTTTTTGGACGTTTGCGAGTAGGCACTTTGCGAGTAGTGGAACGCGATCGGCGACTTGGGGCCAGCAAGTCACAGCTCCTGGAGGAAGATGGGGTAAACATAGCCTTCGGAGCTCCGCGCGGATGTATTGGATCGGCGCTGGGCTTCAGGACAAGATCGGCGGTTTCCCGGACAAGATCGAAGGTTCAACAAGACCCACGCATTTTCCCGAGAGTGGGTCGGAAGCCAAAGGCGATACGCATGCAGATCCTTCAGCGTTTGGCTCCCAATGGGGAGTGGTGGTCGATGCGGCAAGCAGGGCTGGTCTATCGCGCTGGTGTGCCCATCGCGGAGGTCATCGCAGGCGCCAATGATCAGTCGAAGTTGGCCTGGAATTGGCAGACCGTCGCGATATACAACATTGGCACGGGGGCAGCAGCGCAGGCATTCCACAAGTTCTTCAGAGAAGCGGATAACAGCACACAGTCCTGTTCTTGACCACCGTTTGAGCTCGAGTAAGTGGGGCAGCAGGTTCAGATCACCTCGTGGCACGCCGCTGCTCCCATCTGCCGCGGTGGTACCCGTCAGCGCCAGAAGATGCCAGCTGAGGCCGCTAAACTGATGTGTCGCACAACCGCTTGGCAGACCAGGGGGTGGTACGTTTTATGGGTAATTCGTATCATTCGCCATGTGGTCTCTGTTCCTCCTCCGCCTCCTCGTCCTCTCGTCCTTCTCCCCATTTTGGGGCATTTCTGTGTGCTGAGCTCTTTCGTTGACCGGGGAGCTGAGGCAACGCATCCTCTCCGCGATAATTCCTCCGCGCGCGAGGTGTTGGTTGAACAGCTGCGTCTTGTAGCGCGAGTTGCTTGTCCGCCACAGCTCCTGGTGAGGGGTTTGGCGTCAGCTGTGGAAGCGTGTGGTCCGCTCCCATCTTCTCCCTCAAAGAAGCGATCACACGATGTATTTGGGAATCGCGCTATCGCTCGAGCTCTCCTCGCGATTCATGCATGCAGTACTCACGCTTCAGCAGCACGCCTTCTCGACCTGGCCGCCCACGCCCGCCTTCCGACCCGCCCGCTAGGGTCTGCCCGCCCGATCTGCCCGACTGTTTCTGCCACGTGCTTTCTGCTCCTGGCCACCCTCCTGCTAATCTCTCGTGCTCCGTTCTTATCCCTCCCCCTTCCATCCGTCCTTGCTTTCTCTTTGTTAGGGGCTGCGCAAAAATCCACGTGGCAGATAAGGAACATATACCCCCAAGGGGGTACGAAGAGGGCTGGTAACGAGAGGTTGGGATGTACGTGTTGAGTGACACGCGGGCAGATAGGAGCGAACAGCCTTACAGGTGTTGATACTGTTGTTGTTGGTTTTGTTGGTGTTGGTGTTGTTTGTTGCTTGCTGTGTGTTTGTTGTTTGTTGTGTGTTGTTTGGTGTGTGTGGGTGTGTGTGTGTGTTGCGTGTTGCTGTTGTTGTTTGTTGTTTGATGTGTGTGTGTGTGTTGTGTGTTGCTCTTTCTTATTACCAGCGTCTCACTCACGACCCGGCCCGCGACCCATCCGCAACCCATCCGCGACCTTCCCGCGACCCACGGAGGAGGAGGAGGAGGAGGAGGAGGAGAAAGAGGAGGAGGCCGAGCATAGCGAAAGACCTCCCGTCGCGTTTTCTCCCTGCCACCACCAGGGGACCCTGGACTCCTCGCCCCCCCCCCTCCCCCGCGGGCAGCCCCGGCGAGAGGCGCGCCGGCGGCGGAGCAGCGCCACCCCGACGGGTTCACGCCGCCGCCGCGCTTTTCCCCGGGCGGCACGGCGGGGGCCGGCGGAGCGCATCGCCGCGAGAGCGGAGAAGGTCGCGCGCACGCGACGCGCCGCGCGCCTCCTGCGGCTCCTGCTGCTGCTCCTGCTGCTTCTCGTCCACCTCCTCCTCCTCCTCCTCCTCCTCCTCCTCCTGCTCCTCCTGCTCCTTCCTCCTCCTCCACCTCCTCCTCCTCCTCCTCCTTCTCCTCCTCCTCCTCCTCCTCCTCCTCCTCCTCCAACTCCAACTCCAACTCCAACTCCAACTCCAACTCCAACCTAACCCACTCTAACTCCTCCTCCTCCTCCTCCTCCTCCTCCTCCTTTCCCTCCCCCTCCTCATCATGCTGCTGCTGCTGCTCCTTCTTCTCCTCCTCCTCCTCCTCCTCCTCCTCCTCCTCCTCCCCCTCCACCTGCTCCTGTTCTTCCTCCTCCTCCGCCTCCTCCTCCTCTTTTTCCCTCCTCCTACTGCCATTTCACCTCCTCCCCCCTCCTCCTCCCCCTCCTCCTCCTCCTCCTCCTCCTGCTCCTGCTCCTGCTCTGCTCTTCATTATCATTATCCTCTCCTCCTCCTCCTCTTTCTCCTCCTCCTCATCATGCTACTGCTGTTGCTGCTGCTGCTGCTGTTCCCCCTCCTCCTCCTCCTGCTCTTCCTCCTTCTCCTCCTCCTCCTCCTCCTCCTCCTCCTCCTCCCCTCCCCCTCCTCCTCCTCCTCCTCCTCCTCCTCCTCCTCCTCCTCCTCCTCCTCTTCCCCTCCTCCTGCCATGCCACCTCCTCCTCCTCCTCCTCCTCCTCCTCCTGTTCCTCCCCCTCCTCCTCCAACTCCAACTCCAACTCCAACTCCAACTCCAACTCCAATCCAACTCCTCCTCCTCCTCATCTTGCTGCTGCTGCTGCTCCTCCTTCTCCTCCTCCTCCTCCTCCTCCTCCTGCTTCTCCTCCTCGTCCTCCTCCTTCTCCTCCTGCTCATCATCATCCTCCTCCTCCTCCCCCCACTCCTCGCACCTGCACCGGTCCTGGCCAGGACGGCGTGTACGCCGATCTTCGGCTCAGGGTGGGCACGGCCTTGCTTCGTGCAGGTGTACGGCTGGCGCCCTCCGACACAGGTGCCTTGAGGGAACGGGAAGGTGGAGAGGGCCCGAGGTATATCACGAGGAGTTTGTTTTGTGGTCTGGGCAAATTCGCTGTGTAGTGCTCCTCCATGCCGGCCAATTAGCTTTGTAGTGCAACATGTTTTTTTAAGGTCTGGGCGAAATCTGCCGTGATCGGCCCTCCCCCTCCCCCCCCGGGATCGCGTCACGCTATGCTGCCCACATGCGCAAGGATTTCCGACCGATTCTTCGAGGATTTCCGGAGATCTCTGGCGGCCCCCCGCCGTGATGTGATCGGGGGGGGCGAGCTCCCCCCCTCCCCTCCCCCGATCACGCCCGCTATCGCGAATATGGAAAAAAACATACTCAAGGATTCTGCCTCCTGCCGCAGGACAGCCCTGCGACGAACGCGATGGGTGCCGGCACGGTTGGCGAGGCGATTTGCGTTCGCGATCGCTGTCCGCTCCCACCTCCTGCTCCCCCGCCCCCCGCCCCCCCAAAAAAACACAGCTTCTGCCTCCTGGGCCTTGCCCGGGCCCCAGGGCCATCGAGGAGCAGCAAAGGACGTGCGTCTAGAGTCGCTGACCGCTCCCGCCTCCCTGCTCCCCCGCCCCCCAAACAAACAACAACCACAGCTTCTGCCTCCCGGGCGGCCTTGCCAGGGCCCCCCGGGCCATCGAGGAACAGCTCCCCAACAGAAAAACACAGCTTCTGCCTCATGGGCCTTGCCCGGGCCCCAGGGCCATCGAGGAGCAGCCCAGGACGTGTGTGCTACGATCGCTGTCCGCTACCACCTCCCTGCCCCCCCCTCCCCAAACAAAACCACACCTTCTGCCTCCCAGGGGGCCTCGCCTGGGGCCCCAGGGCCATCGAGGAGCAGCCCAGGGCCATCGAGGCCGGCACGGGGTGGCGCCAGGGGTGTCCCACGGCCTCCCCAGAAGGCAGGTGGGGGCGGGGTGGCCCGAGGGGGGGCGTGGGCGGGTGGCCGTGGGTGATGGGCTTGTTTTCCACCACCACCACCACCACAAGTTGGAGGGGGAGGGCGACCTCCTCCTCCTCCTCCTCCTCCTCCTCCTCCTCCTCCTCCTCCTCCTCCTCCTCCTCCCACTCGAACAGACCCATGTCATGCCAGCCCTGCCTTTTCACCCGCCTCTCTCCCGCTGCCTTTTGGGCCCTGAACCTGGCCAGGCTTAGCGCCCGCATAGCTTGCATAGCACACCGCATACCTTTCATTCCGCATACGCGCTGGTAAAACAGTGCGCACAGAGCTCTTATAGTTCATTCCTTACTTGTTACTCTAGTTGGTAGCGGAGCTTCGGCTCCCTTCCACGATGTTCCATTCTTCTCGCGTCATCTCGAAGAAGACGTTCTTCCACTCCGTCTACATGAACACGGTGTTCTTCCGCATATCGAGCAACACGCTCATCAATATAGCGTTGTACCTTTGCTCCCCGCACGGCGAGGCAGGGAACCCGATCCCGCCGCAGGAACCCGGCGATCCAGGAGCAGGCGCGACCATCCTGTACAAGTACGACCACCAGAAGATCTACGACGGCACCCGGCAGGAAGGCGCCGGGGAGGGAGGGCGGGAGCGCGAGCTTGTTTGGGATGTCTCAATGCGCCCAGCGCGCGGCGCCACGACCGCCCCGCACAATCACTCCATGAGTGTCCAGTACATCCCGAGAGAGCCAGATGCGACCATGCCGAAGGCAACCCCAGAGTCTCAGATGTCATGGTCTCCGCCTACGGAGATTGCCGGTGACGTCAGTCTTGAGATTTACTCCGAGCCCACGCCGTCGGCGCCGGAAGAGAGCCCAAGGGGGGCGCCTACGACTGCGACCACGCCGACGGCTACTCCGAGCGCGCGCGCAGCCACGAAGACTACGCCTTCGGCTACAATGTCTTCGCCTACGGCCACGCCCGCGCCAACAACCCCGCCCACGCCCACGGCCGCGACGACGGCGCCCGCGGCGACCCAGGGCGCGCGCGGCGCCAGCGGCCCGCAGAGACGGAGGACCGCCAATCCCAACCCGCGCGGCACTGCCCAGGCCCAAAGGGAAGGACGCCCCACGAGCACCCCCCCCCGACAAGGCCAAGCCTGGGACAATCATCCAGCACTGCAACTGGCCGGGGCCCAAGCCCTTCGTCAAGTTCAGCGCCCAGCACCAGCCGCAGCGCAAGAAGGCGGAAACGATCGCCCATGGCGTGAATCTCCCGCATCGCTGGCGCGACGACCCCTCGGCGAACCACAATCCCGAGGAGGCCGACGAAGCAGAGCGCAGCAGGGACCACCATCCGCGTCGACTCCTGGGCAGCCTGCCGGAGCGTCGACGACGGTGGATCCCAGGCTCCGAAGCTACGGGGATGCCGCTGAGAGGCCTCTACCACAAGTGGGCACAGCTCATAGCTGGCGGTCGGCTGCGGGGGGCTCGGCTCCTTGCTCCTCCGCGCGTGCGGCGTTGACGACAGTCAGCTGCTTATGGTCCCCCAGCACCGCAAAATGGCCTGCCCCTCCAACGCGCAGCAGCTGCAGCACATGACCAATTAATCAGCTGCGCCGCGTCGGCCATATGGCGCAGAACTCGCCCGGGAACCTCTCTCGGGCAGTTCGTGCCAGAGGAAACCGGACTTGCCGGGCCACTCCTTCGTCGAATGACCCCAGCAGATTCCATGGTGACGCTGGCGGTCTGAGCCTGGGCCACCAAGGACCTCCGGCCACGGGCGCAGTCAGCCCTCCCGCGCCCAGTGGGAGCCACAGCCATGCCGAGGCTCCCCGCTAGCAGGAGGCCCACCCAGCCGGCGGGGTCGACTCCTGGCACCGACTCGGACACAGCGTCGAGCTTCGGCGAGGAGATCAAGGAGGACGACCCCGAGTTCCACGGCGCCCCCGAGGACCAGCGCGCGGCTCACTTCTTCTGGGCCTACGAGCGCGCCAAGAGCAGGCGGCGTCGGTTCAACAACTACAAGCCGACCCGTCGAGCGCGCCGAGCCTTCAAGCGCAAGGGGGGGGGTAGAGGCCGCGGCAAGGGCCACACCTACCTCGTGCACCTGGACGACGCCACGTTCCGGGAGACCTTCGTGGGCTTCGGGAAGGGCAAAGGTAAGGGAAAGGGGAAGCATCGGACCAGCGGCGTGGGCATGGGCAGGTCCGGCAACCCCATGGGCCCAGACGGGCAGCGCCTGAAGTGCCAAAGGTGGGTTTCAGAGGAGCACCTCGCGCGCGACTGCCCTCGGCGACGCCGGCGTGGCGGCCGGGCCCTCTACCTGAACGCCTACCCCCCTTCATCGTCCCCTACGTCATTTACGTCACCATTGACCTCTCTTGGGCAATCAGGCCGCGGTAGGAGCAACCAACGACCATGTCGGCGGCTCTCCTGGCCAGGGTGATCCAGCGCAGGGTGCTGATCCCTGGAGCGGAGGACAGCCGACGCCGGAGACCGCCCCCCGCAGACCACAGACACCAGGGTCCGACGGTTCCTGGCAGCAGGTCGGCCACAGTCAGTGGAGCCAGGATTCATCATCGCGCTCTGGCGGTCCAGCAGCAGCCTCGGCCTCCCCCGCTTCTTCTCCGAACCCTCTCGAGGACGAAATGCGACGATTACGACAGGAGATGGAGGCCATGAGGCAGCGTGTCCAGCAGCAGCAGCCTGCCGCTGGAAGATCCGACCATGTCGGTGAATCCATGGGCCCAGCACCATCACGGCCAGCACCAGCAGCCCCACCAGCAGCGCCACGGCAGCCAGCACAGCAGCAGCCACAGCAGCCGCAGCAGCAGCGACGTCAGTGGCACGTGGGCGCCGCCTTTCCTGTGGGATTTGACTGGATTGGTGACCTCAATGCTCGCGTGGCCCCACCACCAGAGCCACCGCGGGGCGTTGAGCTGCCGAACTGGGCGTACATGCCCTCAGTATCGGCCTTCGGCATCAGCGCGCCACGCGGTCCGAGCGCCGCGCGGGCCCCCGCG